CTCACTGTGAAGTATGGTGGAGGATCTGTGATGTTGTGGAGCTGTTTTTCTTCCAAAGGCTTGAGACAACTTGACTGGATACCTGTTGTCATGGACTCCATGGTTCCATCAATTATGACAAGTCACTCAGGTCCTGCAGAAGCAAAGCAGCCCCAGACCATCTCACTACCACCATATTTGACTGTTCGTATGATGTTCTTAAGGTGGAATGAACTGCAACTCTCTCACGGATGCCGTTTTTGCCCAGTGTCTTTCTTATTGTGGAATCATGTACATTGACCTTAACTGAGGCAAGTGAGGCCTGCAGTTCTTTAGATGTTCGTCTGGGTTCTTTTGTGACCTCCTGGATGAGTCATTGATGTGTTCTTGGTGAAACTTTGGTAGGCTGGCCACTCCTGGGAAGGTTCACCACTTGTCCAGGTTTTGTCCATTTGCGGATAATAGCTTTCACTGTGGTTCACTGGAGTGCCAGAGCCTTAGCAATGGCTTGGTAACCCATTTCCAAACTGGTAGATTTCAATTATTTTGTTTCACATCTGTATTTGAATCTATTTAGAACATGGCATCATATGCTGCTTTATGAGACTTTCTAGCCTGTTTCACATTGCCAGACAGGTTCTATTTAAGTGATGTTTAGATTCAGCAGGTCTGGCAGTAATCAAGCCTCGGTGTGGATAGCGAAATTGAACTTAATAGTCAACTGAATTTGGTTAACCGGTTGATTTTGTAGCCAAGGAGGCAATTACTTTTTCACATAGGGCCAGGCAGGGCTGAAACAGCATTTTTCCTTCAATAAATAAAAGTCATCATTTAAAAACAGTAATTTGTGTTTACTTGGGTTACCTTTGTCTAATATTCAAAGTAGTTTTTTACAGCCTGCAAATCAAAACCTGACAGCCTCAGCCAGAAAGTGTAAACTGAGCCATGGTTGGATCTTCCAGCAAGACAATGACCTCATGACAATGACATGGACCTCCAGAATCAGAAAGACGCTGTATGGAGGAATGGTCTTAGATCCCATGCAACGTGTTCTCCAGAGAAGACTCTGTTACCTTTGTTAAGGGAAGCTGCACAAAGTATTAAATAAAGGGTGCCAACAATTGCAGCATACACAGATTTGAGAAAAATATTCATTTCATGATTAAAAAAAAGAATTTTTTTACAGGCAGCTTTGCTCATGTTTACCACGGTGCCAATATTTGTGGAGGGCACTGTATATTCAACAAAACTTTACGAAAGCCCTGATTCAGATTGTGAATTCATTGTGTTCAAGCAGTGCAAACAACGAACTGGACAGCTCATCGCTTTATACAGGGATTGAGAAACACTACAGCAGATGATGTCCTTCCAATTTAAGCTGCTTTCTCTGCTTTCCATGCTTTACTAAGAAGCACAGAACTGTAGCCAGAACATTAAATGTGCAGACGATTAAGCTAACTGCTATTCTGTACAGGAGAGGCTTACAAACCAGTTTATTGCCAACAGTATGTTAGGCCTTGTGACCCATCATCTTTACTGCCTGAGGGAAGCTCAAAAGAAACAAAGTCTCATTATAACATTGTTAAGATGAATTGGAAGGCATTGATTCTCCACACACACAATTATTATACTGCACAATATTCTATAGAGCTTTCATCATCATTTAAAATGTGGGTATTTCACAGCAGACATGGGTTATCTATATAAAGTACTCACACCTAGGTACTATTAGATGGGGTGGGCGAGATGGCAAGAATATAACATTGTGAAACCTCAAGACATTGTTATGATACACAATATTTACATTTTCTGAGGTTTGTTAAATTGGAACAGACAAAAAAAACCCAGCATAAGCACATGTAAACATTTCTATCAAATTCTACTAAGTACAATAATTTCTATTCAATGATTCACATATCGTTACTATCAGAGCACCTCCAAAAACATAACGTCACAGGAGAATGAAAAACGCTCTTAACCTTTTGATAGATGTTAATAGATAAATGATTTCTTCCAAGTAATTCCAGACCATTTCTATTGTTCCATTCATCATGAAATTTTGAGACAGTGTAAAAGGGCAGAAGACAATTTCAGATTATGTCAAAAGACGATAGTGTGCTACACTAAATCCAGTTAATCAGGACAAAAATACTCTCTTCGTACAGAAACATAGAGCTGGTCAGTGTTCTGTACAGTCGTTATCCGCAATATGCTCAGAAAAGCGCATTCTGACATAATGCAAAGTGATTTATGACGATAAAGATAAATACTGTTATTTTGTGCACCCTGACACTAACGTTTTGAAATGCCTCAAAGGCCTTCATGCCACATGCACATAATCTACAGAAAGAGGCTTTTCTCAGGACCTCTCGCAAAAGTCAGCATTCTCAAAGCATCCTCCAAACGCTACATCTTGAATTGCCACTAAAACGTGGTTTTCACTTTCTACGCCCCTTCACACGAAACATTTGTTGCCTAGTTCAGACGATTTGGTTTCAAGTAAACAATTAACTGGTATGATACGTTCTAAGTAGAGTCTGGACTAGCTGCTGGTGTGAGTGTTCCTGTGGGAGCTGTGGGACTGAGAGATATGTAGTGTTTGTCTGTGCAATGATGCAGAGGAAATGTCTGTTGTGTGACCTTTCTAGCCTCTGGCACGAGGCACTGAAGATGACGTGGGCTTGCTATGTGTGCCCTTCTCTGTTCAACAATGCCAATGTAACCTGGTAAACCAAGAGTGAAAGCAACATTATGCAATCATTTAAGCCAGACACCAATAACAGGACATTCTACTACTGTCACAACAGACAGTGTCTAGAGAGTAATGCAACATGTTTCTTACCAGGGTATTACACTGATTTTTCTGTAGCTCTGCATTAAGCACAATGAATCGTATTTACACTGTTATTGCGATATGAGTTTCCGCGATAACCGCATTGTTAGAGCAGTTATGACAGAACAGATTTAATTACCTCACATAAGCAGCGCCAGAGAGACGTCACTACGTTACCAGCACCACCAGTTACAAGCCTGGGTTAAGAAAAAACACATATTTAAGAAGAAGATTTTCTATTTTAAGACATTTTTGTGAATCCGACCGCTGCTTCTATGCGCTGGGACTGAACCTGCTCTCCCACACAGGAGATGAGTAACTTACCCATTCGGCCAAACGGTCAACTACAAAACACACACTTGGAGACTTGGAGAAATATCGGCCCACAACTCTGCTTTATTGGAAACTTAACTTAAAGCAGCTGCAGCAAAGGGGGGAACATGCAGCACACAGGCTAGCTCAGGCTCTACTTTTTCTGCTAGCCAGCTGGACTATGGCTCGCTACCATACACCCTCCAGAGTCCTTCAAAATAAGAGTCCTGGACTAACTAAGAACCAAGTGCCTAACTGCACTCTAAAAGCAAGAATGTTATTTTTAAACTAAATACAACCCACCATGTTTGACACCACATCACACAACTAATAACAAAAAAATAATAATTAAACAAGAATATGTATTTGTTATTGTGTGCCTATATAAATAAATACATATTTTTTGCTTTTGTAGCCTTCACAGAAAAAACTGTTGAGGTAATGCTGTTTCTCAGCCCTTCAGTGCACAAAAAATGTGCTTGCAGTTGTGATAAGTAGTTGTATTTCATTTCTTTTTATTTTGCAGAACATGCTTTTGTAATTTTGTATTTTGCTATTTGTTTAAAGAGGGGTTTACAGAAAGGTCAGTTAGATTTCTGTTTACACGTCCCAAAAAGTTGCTCAGAGTGGATTTAAGGGAAATATGTCATCTGGAGAAACTTTGAGTCAGAATTGTTCACAACGGTTAACTGTAATGGAAACCAGACGTCTGAAGATTTTAATGCCTTTCAAAACTACCTCACTTATTACATACAATGTTACTATTTTACCATTCTTAACATTACATATGCAACCACATGCAAAAGTTTTGTCAAATTACAAAAATAAGTTAATACATCAAGTTAATACATCAAGTTAATACATCAGGGAATAAACTTAAATATGACTTTTTTTCAATTTCTGTGCATGTTTATTTGCTTGCACAGTTTAACATTTGGAAAAAATAAAACAAAATATAAAATGTGCCATAATGTTTGCAGAGACCACATTTCATGTTTTTTTTTCCAAATATGTTAAATTCAGCAAATAAACAGTACTTGTGCATTAAAATATGCAGAAGTGTGTTGTCTGTAGTAGATGTGTTCTTATTTTTACTTATTAAATCAACAAATCATGTTATTTGAGTGGGGCACCCAAACTTCTGCAAAAGACTGTAAAAACTCAGGAGACGTGTAATTTCATTGGTCCCTTTTGATAGCAATTATACCTCTGGTTCCTGTCACCACTATTACAAAGAAACCTGAGTCAATAAATTCCTATACAATGTCCTCTCTCACATCAAACCACTCTGAAAAACTTTGTTTATATTGATAATTGAAATATGCAGATATGTTGAAAACTCCCCTTTAAAAGAACACAGAAGTGTTTTTCAACCTAATGTCTATCTGCAGCATAACTATAGCAGTGGTCACCAACGCTGGTCCTGGAGATTTACCTTCCTGCAAAGTCAGGGTCCCACCACAATCTGCCACACCTGCTCCAGCTAATTAACGTCTGGCTGGATCAGATGCATTAGTCTTAGGAAAGGAGGAGGCAGCATATTAGATAGTGGAAGAGGTAACTAAACTCTGTAGGAAAGCAGATCTTCAAGGGGAGGGTCAGTGGTCACTTATCTATAGCACAGTGTCAATTACCACAGTCTATCTTTCAACATTTGCCCCTGCACTTGGGGAAAGAGCAAAAAACCAACTGACTCAAGCAAAGCTGAACCAACTGCCCATTGGCTTGTTTTATAGGTATATTCTGAGTCAAGGGCTTTCTCTTCTTTCAAGTCAAAATTACTGCCTGTGGTATTTGACCATGATAAAACAGATAAACACTGGATGGCTCCCTTAACGTTAACCATTTCCACTTGTTCAGTGGCATCAGTTCTTACCTCATACTGAAAGGTTGCTTCCATGAGCAGCTCAGGCAGCATCCTCATGCCCAACTCCTTGCTGGCTGCGTCAGAGACATAATGGAGAACCAGCACTTCATCCTCCAAGAAGCGTCCATGTTTCGCCATGGAGCGCATGGCCACCTCGAACTTGCTCTGCAGATTCATGCTCCTGTCGATCTTGGTGAACATCATGAGGGCGTGATAGTGCTGCTTCTCGCCTGGCCTCTTCTCAAGTCCATCTTGTTCGTGCCTGATCCCAGCCTTTTCCTCATGATGTACGGACCGGGTGTCCACAGAGAGGTCAGCATCATTGCGGTTGGAGTTGTGACTTGCTTGGGTCTGCTTTATTCGCTTCGTGGTGCTGGAGAAGTTTTGCTTTTCTGAGCCAAAGTAGTAGAATGCCATCACAGCCATAGCTGCAGCCAGCAGCAGCACAATCTGATAGGACCTGAAGGTGCTGATCCTCCCCATAGTGACTGAGAACAAGCGCAGAATACTCATACCTCCACACAGGTTTGGTTATCTGTTCAAAAGATGGAAAGAAGGGAAAGGAGGTCGGTTATTATTTCGTAGATCTATGTTTTGTTTATTTCTATTCTTTCTTTACTTATGCCCATTTAGGCCCGGAAGCTTCACTTAACTGTACTATTATTTTTATTGTTACTATAAATTCTACTGAGTAAGATGCCATAAGGTAAACACATTCATTCAAACATTAACGACCATATCACAGCTTTAAGCAGTATAACGTCGTCTTTTGCAGACGGATAAACGAATACATTAGATTGCTGTGCAAACACAAAAAGTGGTTGAAAGCTGGCTAACAAACACAACCTGAACTAATCCTAATACGACAACCTGTGCCAAACATGTATGCTAACGCTAGCTAACTATTGCTCCCTTACCGCTGCGTTGAGGTGGTCAGTAATAACACTACTAATGAAACAAATACGTCTCTTCACGATATAAACTGTTCAAAAAAATCTGGCATTTCACAACATGCAGAACTCGGCCAAATGAAATGAACACAGTCACTGCTCTCCTCACTTGCACAGCACTGCGTGAAGCCAGGTGTAGTTTGCCAGTGTCTGTTTACTATTTCCGCTTAGGCGTTTGCTGTTCTAAACGTGTTATCTAAACTTATTTCAGTATATTAAATATTCATATTTAGAGTACGTAAACTTCAGTTATATTATGTATGTATTTACTTATTTATGTATTTCTTTAGCTATTATTTTAAGAAAATAGTTGTACAATTTATCATAGTGGCACGGTTTTTAACAGTCTATATTAATATTAATTCAACGACAGTAAACTTTAATATTCACATATAAGCATGACCTCACTTTCAGAATTTAACACAGTCTTCCCATTTCAGTAAGCAGCTTTTGAATAATTTTCTACCGACACTTTTATTTTGACAGCGATACTAACTCGTCTGTGCTAGATGCGAAGCTCACCAACGCGGAGCAGACGTTAAAGGGGAATGCCACCAATTTTTCTAAACTTTTAATAATTAAGTCCTTGAGATGTAAACAGCATCATTTAGAGTGGGCTGACTTGAAATGGTTTCTTGCATTGAAATGTTTATTGCAACTATTACACTGTTTCTTTTGCTTTTATTTATGTAAAGCATATCGAATTGCCTTTGTGTATGAAATATGCTATATAAATAAATTTGCCGCGCCTTGTAGAAAAACTCACGGACTCTAATTTCTTTACAGTGGTGGTCACCATGATAGCCATTTTATTTACCATCCAATCCCACCAGTGAACCTACACGTGTCGTCACAGTTTTACATGTAATTTTGATAATGCTAAAATAGCAATAAATAAAAATAAATCTGAAAAATTAAATCTGAAGTTTTCTTTTGGGACTATTTTGCCTTGCAACTGCCTGTATGTACACCTCTACCATCAATGGATTAAAATAAATTGGTTAAAATATAGTAAAGCCAAAACTTTACCACAAAACTCTTATAAAACAATGTATCAGACATCAGACAGCATATATCTAACCATTTCATGTAATAACTTTCTGTGAGGGAGCTTTTAGAGGCATTAAACTCTTCACACGTCTGGTTGCTATCACCACCACTGTGAACAATTCTCATTCAGTAAGTTTCTCTAGAACAGTGCATTTTGTACCAATCCACTCTGAATGACTTGGTTTACATCTCAAGCATTTAATTATGTGGAATTTTGAAAAATTGCTGGAGTTTCCCATTTAAATCAGAGAGCATTTGTGAAGCATATCATCTTTGAATACACAGACTGCCAACAGGCTAAAATATGTGTGCTGCACACAGATTCAGTACAAGAGGAAAAAATGCTTGTGGAAGTAGAGGTGGGCGATACTGCACAAATATAACATCACAATACTTGGAGGTGTTTTATTATTATCAATATACATTACATTTATTTCTTCTGGAAGCCTCTGGTTGCCTCTCCACATACAACAAACCCATTTCCTAAAAAGTTGGGACGCTGTGCAATGTGTAATTAAGAACAGAAAACAGTGATGTGCAATACATTTAAATCTTTAATTGAAAATAGTACAAAGACAACATATGAAATTTTGAAACTGAGAAATGTTATTATTAATTTGAAAAATATATGCCCTTTTCAAATTGAAATGAAGCCAGCAACATGTTTCAAAAAAGTTGAGAAAGGGGCATGTTTACCACAGTGTTTAATCACCTCTTCTTTTAACAGCACTCTGTAAGAGTTTGGGAACTGAGGAGACCAACTGATGTAGTTTTGAAAGTAAAATATATTCCCATTCTTGCTTGATATAGGACTCGTTTAATATGGAGCATAGTACATGCAGAATGTGGTTTATATTGTCTTGCTGAAATAAACAAGACCTTTCCTGAAAATGACAGCATCTGGATGGCAGCATATGTTGCTCCAAAACCTGTATATATCTTTCAACGTTAATGGTGCCTTCATAGATGTGCAAGTGATCCATGCCATGTGGACTAATGCATCCCAATACCATTACAGATGCTGGCTTCTGAACTGTGTGCTGATAACACACCAGATGGTCTTTAGCTCAGAGGACGCAGCATCCATGACTTCCAAAAAGAATTTCAAATTTTGATTTGTCAGACCATAGGACACTTTACCATCTTCAGTAAGCTCGGGCCCAGAGAAGGCGGCAGCATTTCTGAATCCTGTTTACACATGGTTTTTTCTTTGCATGTTATGTTCATGAGTGATAAGATTAGTATCAGTGTTGTACTGGACTCATGCATGTGTTAAATAATAATAATAATAATAATAAACCTAGAACTACAATGATTTTTATTCTTCTTTTACAAACTGCACCTCACTATATCCAGTTAAACAGGCCTAATCACACTCACTTTGTAATTAAACATGTAATGTTCTTTTAGTACTGATGAGATCTAAAATATACTCAACAAAGTGTATTGTGGCATAATCTTTCACAATAACAATAAAATACTGCTCACCCCTCCTTATCCTAAATGGATTCTGAATGTAACGGAATCTTTTTATGTATTGTAATGGACTAGGACTAGGAACATTTCTTGAAATATGTTTATTTGTACGTAGTCACATAACACTCAAAATATTGGAGATAGACAGGATACAAAGCAACTTTTCAACTGAGGTGCACAATGAAACAGTAAATAAATGAGAATGAGGGTATGTCACTGTTAGCAGTTATAGATGGTTACTACAGAGTGCAGTCTTAGGCCAAACATTTTTTTCTTTTAATATCTACATATAATGAACAAAAATATTAGGGCTTCAACTTAAATCTCATGCAGGATGGATGTATGGAACATTATTTGGCCCACTAAGTAGTGCTGTTGAAAAATAATTATACATGAAAATATAATTCAACATGTGACAAAAGTAATTGTACTGCCCCGAAATGTTACCACTCAAAACATTTTAGAATATCAGACAGTTTTGACCTTCCTTTCAGTACAAGTTTATACAATTATTCACCTCCTTTTGCCACTCCTCACATCATATGAAAAGTTCTTTGTTTTCCTTACAGTTCAAAGAATGGCAACACATTTTCTTTTTTTTCTTTTTTAATAAATGCCTAAGAGTTTCTCCAGGAGAGACTCTTACAACCAAACTATTTTAACATTCACAATCGGTATGAAATTGCCTATGCAAGCGAACCTTCAGTGCTACACCACATTAACTGATTTGTTCTTGACATACACTGTGATGGTTCAGAGCGATGATATTCAAGTACATTTGAAACTGAAATATGAAAGTTCTTTCTTTTTTTTTTCCTTTTGTTTTCTTGTAACTCATATAAAAGACGCCAAGAGTCCAGCATCTCAATAGTTTTCCCGGTTGCAATTGGTGAAAAAAGAAGGAAAATACAAAGCATTTGCACATTATTACATAGACATTTTAAATGGGCTTTTAAACGGGTCCGGCCCAAAAAGGATCTGTAACCTGTACAGACAAAACACTCAAACTAGTGACTAGATCCATGCGATAAATGGCTTTTGGAGGGCTAACATAAGGCTGCTTACAATGACTAATTCTAATTTGTCTGATCTGTTTCAGGCAGTATAGGAGTACAATTGGTAATGCTGATAAAAAAGACATGCAAGAGAACTATGCTTGTCCTTTTTGAGGACTGAAGGCATTGTAAAGAACGGGGGGGAAAATAACAAAGTGCAAAAGCCACCTGCATACATCAGTTACTGTCCGACTGTATACCTCTCCGTTTGTTTTACTGCATATAAGAATCACATTGATGTTTTAAAAATCTGAAACCTCAAGTTTAGCACATGAATGCATAAGAAGTCTGGAATACCACATCATCAGTTCAGGATACTTTCTGTAAATTACACTGGAGGAAAACAAAATGCCTTCCTTTTCATTGCATTAATACATTTTGGTGCATCATCGTCCAGTAGAATTGTACGTGTTCTTTACAGAATGTAAGAGGGAAAAAAAAAATAATCACTGTGGTCTTTGCATTGTGTAGACTGCGTCCACTGGGACATTCAGCAGAAAGGCAGATGGTTTGGCCTCTTCTCAAATTTGAAGGGTAGAAACTTCTTACGTAAACAGCATACTGTTTTTGAGAGCACAACAATGTGTCCTTCAGAGTTTCAGACATAGCTGATTGTATCTTCATTAAAACCAAGAGCTTTCCTGGAAATAGCGGACTGCCCTTTTGTAATGCTTCAGGTGGTTATGCAGGTGGAAACCTTGACCCAGCGTTTTGAGAACTCTCCCACACATGTAGAACTTTGGCTTGAATTAATAGAATGAAACAAAACAAAACAAAACAAAAACAAACAATTTACATAAACTAGCGTCATTTTGAATAAATTCTCAATCTCAAGGAGGTTTTCCCACCAGTAGACATACATCCATATAGATAGCATGATTGCACCTCATTTGTAGATTTTTCACAGCTTAAATGTAATGCAAAAATAAAACATAACAGGCTTTCTCCATAACCACAAAGGTAGGTTGCATTAACAGCTCACAACCAGGTAGTGATGACGAGTCAACGTGGTTCAAATGTACAACACACACAAAATACAAAGCCAAAATGTTGCAGGCGCATACGTTATTGTTCATTTCGAGGCCAGCTGATTTAGCATTTCATTGCTGGACCTCATCCTTCACCAAATTTCGACCGACATGATTCTACATGGATTGTTGATGCGATATGGAACAGGCCTACCCTTCCTCAGAGCACTGCTACTGTGCCCCTGAACTAGGCCCAAAATGCTCTAGAGGCGCACTCGCTGTCCCTTCCACATACTAGTTTCAATACGCTGCGACTTGGAAGCTGCTCTAGATAAAAACTGAGAGGTAAAACGCACTTCAGCGACAGCTTTGATCAGCTTTGACGCAGGATTCACTACTGTATTAAATCAAGGAGTTTTTTTTACCTCATAACCCCAAGAGTAAACTACACATAGCACGTCTGACACATCCTCACCACATTGACCGTGTACTGTACAAAATCTATGATGAGGAGAGGTTAGGAGCATCAAAAGGCATGTAGCTAGAGGACATACATAAATCTAACTGTTAACATATACTATACTATAGCATAAATGGTAAACCATATAACCAACAGGTCATTTATTCTCTCCTTTTCAAACCCATCTAACATCCATTTCGTCCAGAGTCTTTCCCCCCTCCTCTTTCTTTACAGGATAATCTACATAGCACCATTTTTAAGGTTGCACAGAACTCTATAGCCATCAGCCAACACAATGAAAGTGACAACGAGCACAGACAAGAAAAATCCTGCCTGTTTAAAAGTTCAGTGGAAAACAAAATGCCTTTCTGAACATTCTGAACATATCTCAAAACTACACTGAACAGAAATCGGTTAGAACTGCTCGTTTCTTTACTAAGCACCACACTAGCTTCTGCTGCGGCATGCAACACACATGGAGGGAGAACCGTGCATTCACCCACAGAACATCAACTTGCATTAAGGCTTTGTCTATACAGTGCTAGTGTGTCTGCTGGCACATTTATCTCAACCGCTCAAGATTATGTAGTGGGTAATCAAAAAAAATCTACTCATGTTTCACAGGAGTAAGAAATTTCACTTTTGGAATAATAAATTATGCATCGTGATGTAGAAGTGCAATGGCATGAACACAGAGGGCCATTGTGTAGTCTTTGGGACACTTGCATATCGAAACAGAGAGACAAGTGATCTCATTTTACTGTAGTGTTTAATTGCTTATGGTTTGTATTTAACTACAAAACCACAAAAATGGCATTAATGCTCCTCTTTAAATTCATAATTCTAATGAACCAAATAAATTACACCTCCTACCACATCTCCAGGTATTTACAGACTATCATTTTGGCCCAGTATTCATTTAGGAAGGCAGAGGAGGAGAGTAAAAAAATCTTTGTAGTGACCGAGAGTAACAGCTTTCAAGAGCCAAGTGTTCATGTAAGGTCACAGGAGGTGCCAACTCTACTACATTTGCTTAATGTTCTACAGCAACCATCTTTTAGGGGTTTGTTTTGGAGAGCAAGGTCGCAAACCGAACGACAAAATTCTTACCCTGTTTAGTCTAGGAGTTCTCAGAGGTTCCATGCATATTTTAAAGGCGTTAGTACTTAGAGGAAGACATGAGCATCCTGAAAAGCGCTCCAAAAGTAAAGAACGCTTCCCATTTTACATGTTGAGGATTCTTTCCTTCCTCAAAATAAAACTAAATTATCATGGTCTCTCCAGGAAAAGAGCAGCAAAAACATACCAAAAAGAAAAGAAAAAAAAAAAAAGTATAAAACTACAGGCAACAATGTACAACCATTCTGGACAAATATTAGGGTTAGTATTATTCTGTATGGATGCCACAGAAAAGGTGTAGACAGAAAAAGAACAAAAAAAAAGTCTGGATTGTTTAGTGCTCCGAAGGTCAGTTGGGGCATCACCCCATTTTTGTACATGAGGTCTGACTGCCATGCTTCTACTGGCCCAGACAGACCAGTAGGTGCAGGGCAAGGGTCCGCTAGCTGGCTCAAGATCTTTCCAGTGGGCTCCGCTCTTCTCCAGCTCAGTTCTGGGCATGGTGTCGGATGGTGTGGAAGATCCAGTCCATCTTGGTGGTCCATCCGCCATGATGAGCGTCGTTCATCTGCTTCATGAAGTAGTCCAAAGCCTCCTGTTCCGTCTTGTCCAGCGCAAGAGTCTTACGGATGTAGGCAATGTCATCAAAAGACTGCAACTCAGGCATTCCTGAGCCAAGCATCATGGAGAAGAGGTTGATGAACAGGTTTGCATGCTGCCGAATGGCCAGGTACGCCTTGTAGCACATCTCTTGGAACCTGCAGAGGGCACCATTGAGCCACAATCAAGATATGAACTGCAGTTTTAGCACAAGGTTAAGCATCATCTAATTGTTGTCTATAATTTAGTATTTAAATAAAATGCTACATTTACATGTAAATGCTCTTTGTAGTTTTTGATTTACTCTCTAAATTTGTGTTACAACACAAATTGCATACAACAGTATCTTGTTCTTCTGATGACAAATATCAACAAACACTGTGATTTCTGCAGTTTCTTTTTAATCCTTTCCATTTTTCCCCACTTTGTTTTCTGTTTGTCAGTTTTCAAATTATGCAGCAGTTTGTTTTTTTAGTCCACTACAAACCTTATTATTTTGCAAAGACCCTGCAATTTTCCACACATAGCGAAAGTCCTGGACTTTTCTCTGTTGAAACATATCATACTGGGCCTTTAAAACTGGGCTTTTCTCTAAAGGCCAGGTTTATTTTAGCCTTATTTCTAAAGCAATTAGAGATCTGTTAGAAAGTAGAAGTCTAGAGGACAAGCAAGAACACTGGCAGGCAACTAGCTGTCAGACTATTGTCAGATGAGGAAGGCTGTTTGGATTGGGTCTGGGGGAAACTGTTAAATATAAAAGAGCCTACTGTTAGTTCAATCTTTGATTGCTGTAGACGGTAGCTGCCAGCCAGTTACTTAACAGTAAGGCTGAAAATACACAAGAGACACATTGTCTCCCTCATGTACACGTGCACACATACACACACACACACACACACACATGCACACATGCACACATACCTCTCAAACTCCCTCGTCTTGGTGCATTCTTGAGTTCCTCCTTTGCTAATCACTATTAAAAAGTCCTGCGTTAAGACAAACGGGACTCGCTCTCGCTTGTACCCAAACTTCTTCTTCTTATGATCCAAGAAGTGCCCAAAATCTATGTGAAATAGCTGCACAACACAAAAGCTATTAATATGTGTGTACTATTATATGAATAAACAGAAGACCAACTACAAAAACATACCTGTCCATCGTCCTTCACCATAATATTACTGTTGTGTCTGTCACCGATGCCCAGAATGAAGGTGGCCACACAGTAGCCAGCACAGGATCGCGTAAACAGGTCAATGGCCATATCATACCTACCACAAAGTACATCCAGATTACCACACATCACTAAAACAGTGAGTTTTAATGTAAATGGCTGCTTGGTTAAAAAATGCTCACGTCTCTCCCTTGTTTTTGTCCTTCAGCCACTGATGAAGTGTGGAGCTGTTGAACTGCAGTGCTCCTTTGAGACCTCCTTTGCACTGGATTTGCATGATGGTGTGAGAGCTCCTCACAACTTCAATCAGACCCACACAATCCCCAATGGATAAGCAGCCATAGGGAAGCATCCTAGAAGCAAATGTTGGAACGAAAGGATATCATGAAATAAGAGCTCGCGTTATATGTAAATTCAAATGAACAATGCATTGGTTGGAAATAATCTACCTGAGATCGAGTCCCTGGTTCTGCCAGATGTTCTCCATTATTTTAATGATCTGAAGCGTCAACATATCTTGCCTTAAGTCTAAAAAAGAATTGAAACACCATTTAATGCTACAATGGTCCCTGTGAGTATTTTTAAAACTCAGACATGAGTTTCGGATGAAATCTTACTAACCATCACCATTCTTGAAGATAATCTCATTGTTCTGGAAGAGAAGCTCTGACATTATGTCAGGGTTCTCCCAGTTAAGCCACAGTGGCCTCTTGGCTGATGACATAATTCTGCAGTCTTCAAGCCTAGGATAGAAAATTAAACCAGAAAATCAATAACAGAAGCAGCACATTGCTACAGCTGTGCAATTTCTCGCCGATTGAGGATGTCAGACTTCACACATAAACTTCAAATGTTAAACTGGCTTACCTTAAGTTCCCCAGCTGGTGGGCTGGGTTGAGTGGGGAGGTGAAGCTTTGAAGTGCATCCATGTAGTCTGGCCTCCTCATTTGCTCCACCAGAAACTTCATCTGCACCTAAAGAAACACCACAAACAGCATCAGTAATCAAAAGCCCTGTTTCAGTGAAACAAAATTTTCTAGCAATAGGAATTCCACCAGAGAAGGCTGCTACCTTCTGGGTTTCATCCTTCTTTTCCTGCTTGAGGATGTCTGTGAGGTTAATGAGTTTCTCCATGGCCTCCACCTGCCTGCTGAGGTGCTTCAGGTACATGCCGCAGGCTCGACAGTATGACTCCAGCAGCAGGCCGAAGCGCTGGCTCACTGTTTTGTTGTGCATCTCTGACCTGCAACATCCGCAAAGCTGTTAGGCTCAGAGACAACTTACAGTAGTTCAGTGAGTAATGTAAATTCCCTGTGACTTCAAATGAGAAAAAAAGTGCATTTAAGCATAGAAGATTTCTACATAAAGATGACCTTAAATATCTTATCATAAAACAATTTTTATTGTTAGTAACAAAAATCTTAGTCACACCATCACCAGTCTTGAATGAATAAGCAATTCCCAAACAAGACTGGTGACCCCTGATCTAGAGGATCATGGTTCTATGTAGCTGACCTCTCAGACTGAACAGAGTTCACCAGAGATAAGCTACAGGTATAAGGTACAGGTGGTGTATTTATAGATGTGAAATATACAGAGGTCTTCCAAAGGACACTTGAAACATACATATACATACATATACATACATATATATATATATATATATATATATATATATATATATATATATATATATATATATATATATATATGTTTCAAGTGTCCTTTGGAAGACCTCTGTATATTTCACATCTATAAATACACCATATATACATATATATATATATATATAATATATATATATATATATATATATATATATATGCACAGTGTAAACACAGCATTTCCTCAAAGATCTAAGCATCCATTTGCAAAAGGCAACATCAGTCACAGCTGTCTAAACATTCTTAGCTGAGAAGCATACAGGCTCACAGACTCCATCATCATGCTTAGTATGGCATCATAGAAAATCGAAGACTACTGAAAAATCCACATCCTGTTAGGAAAAAACACAGGACGGGGCTTTCACTCACTTCAAATGCCAGAAAAAGAAATGCCCAATCCTCTGGTTGGTTAGGGCCCTTTTTAGCAGAAATCGCACCAATGGGTTGTCGAGATACTGCTCATACTTCAAAACCTTTAAGGGATAAACAAAAAAATAAGAGCCCTTGTGCTGCATATTTTATGTTGTAATGTCATTTCATATTAATCAACTTGAAGTGAAGGGACATGCAAGGAAAACCTCACCTGAACCAACTGAATAAGGTACTGGGACAGTTTATCATCAGTCAAATACTTTTCAAGGCACCGTACTGCAAAGTCTCGAACCATCGGATCCGGGTAATTGCAATCAAGCAACTCCATGGCTTGTTCTGGTTTTATTGCAGGCCAGTCTTTCAGCAGGCAATACATCTGAATGAGAAAGATAAAGACTATTTTATAAATTCTGCATGCTCTGAAAAATAACACTGTTCGAACAACTTTCAAAAACAAATCGTAAAATCAATCAGTTTAACCTTGCTCACTCTGTTACTGTCCAAAAAAGGCACTTAAAAAAAATCAGAATTAACATTGCATATACATGTCTACATATGTATAAGTTATTGCACCCACCTAAAGGCCTAGAGATAAAGGATTTTGGGAATGCATACAGTATTTGTTATAAAAATTAGACTTTTGACAATAGTGTTTTAAGCAGTCGACTTATTGTAATCTGTCAACAACCTGTGCGACTTCATCCCTGGAGTTCCATTTGACTGCAAGCAGAATCTTAGGAAGGATCTCAGGTATATTTACACAATATTGCCTGAAAAATACAAAATAAAAGAAATTAGATTTAATTTTTTTATAGAATGGCACTGTAAGATATTACAGCACTGTTGGGGAGGAGTAACTAAAGAAGGTGCTACAAGTACCTGTGCCTCCACAGGAAGTCCTTCTCTTGCTCAGTGATCTCAGAAAGTGGGTCTCGGTTGGCCAGTTGCCGCAGCTGCAACTCAATATCAGCATCTGTTATGATGTGGTCACGAGCCAGTCTGCTACTCTGTGGACAAAAATCCCAAGACAGTCTGTACAACTGGGTTTTTTCAAGGAAAGCCACTCTTCCAACAGAACACATTAACATGCTTTAGGAGAAATTATATACATCACTCACCATATACAACAGAAATAACACACCTTAAGGTGTGCATAGCTATAAATAGCAGCAGGAAGCATGCTGCTATAATTAATTAAACAGGGCGCATGTCTGGGAGCTCACCTGTCCAGACTGGCAGTAATTGTATCCCATCTCTCTGGATATGATCCAATTAGCGTGATCCTCTATTGTGGTCATGTCAGGGAACTTCACAGGACTGCTGAAGTAGTCAAACTCCAGCTCAAGACAAGGGGTTTCCTAATCAATGCAGATGATAAGAGCAGAAAACAAGATGAAGTCAAAATTGGTGATAAAAGGTTAAGTATAGCGTAAAAAGAGATCTTACAATAGCTCTTTTAATATTCTAATACTAAACCGCTTATAAAAGGATTGTAATGAGCCTGTCCCATCATTAAAGTAATAACTGAAACCATAAAAAAAAATCTATGTTAAGTAATAAATTGTTGAATATTTTTAAGTATTACTGTCATGCTGTCAGGAAGCTACTAAAATGGTATAGGAGCCTCCCTAACCTTTGACACTCATTAAGAATGCAAAGAATCATAAATATGCACTATTTGGAAATTGTAAACACCCCCCTCACCTCCAGTTTTCAAACTCTGCCCTTTACCTCCACTGCTATACATGCAGAGCTTATTACTAAATGGGGAATACGGCCAAAGATACATACTTAGATGCCACGTTTTTTCAGCAAGGCACATCAACAGCTGGGGCAGTCAACACTGCTGCCAGACTGCTTTCAGTACAATTACAGAGCCACAGTTAAAGAAAGGTACTGTCCAAAATTATACTATTTTAAGAACACTGAACTCAGAAAGTTGGACAGGACTGTACAATGGAGAGAATGTGGTGATTGACACTCATGTTTGTGCAATGTTTATGTATAGACATGACCATGTGATTGGTAGCCATTTGGTTAGTGTAATTATTCTTTTGTATTATTTCATTTTATAGTGTTCACAGGGTATCTTTGTGTGAACTACAGTTAAACTATTTTATTATTTTACACTGTCTAAGTGCTGAATAAGTATACACTGTAAATTTGGCATACTTTAATCCTTGTGGAATATTCAAACTGGATTAGCACCTTTTTACTGTGATATGAGGCTTATTATGTTTTTGAGTGCATGAAGATTAGAAGTGATTCACACACTGACAGATTTACTGATGACTATATTTCTATTTCTACTACTACTAAACTCAGTAGTACTGTCTTTAATGCCAGTGCAGACCGAATGTGTTTCCTGCTGCTCTGGACAGCGGGCAACAAGCACGTGCACATTTATGAAACAGAATAATTCATATTCAAAACATATTCCTAGGTATTGTTTTTATTTTTAGCACTCAATATGTATACATGTATAAGTAAACTGTCAAAATACAACAATCTGCTTTGCACTTTACCATCACTTTGAGGTCTACCATTAGACAATCCTTACACTGTATTTACAATATATTTACAGGTGGTATGTATTTTTGACAGCTAGTTTAACAATGTTTATGAACATGTTTGGATTTTTAAAATCTAGATCATAAACATGTTGATTGACATTTGATCTGCTGTTGCTCAAGAGAGCCTTTAAGATAAATGTGATCTAAATATTATTTCACTCAGGCACTTCCTATGAAGGTATCAGTGTTCTTATTTAAATTGACAGTTTATATATAGCCAGTTTTTGATAACCGATGCATTTTACAAATATAACACCATGTAAAAAGGATGTTTAAATGATCAGCAAGATGTAGAAATGTCAGATGATTACAACAATACACATTTGTTGAAAACTGGTTGAGTAACAAGCAAGTTCTGGTCGATTTAATCATGAGAACTCATCATCTCAATACACGAGTATTTGCTTTCAAGCAGATCTTGACTGCTACCAACATGGCAGACCCACAGAAGTTTCAAAACGACTGAGAACGACAGACAACGCACAATATCTACATAATTCTAACATGCCATACAAATGGAGTTAACCATTTAAAAAACTGAGCAGGGATATCATTAAACAATAGCAAACTGCTTATGGTCCATATCACAGTGTGAAACATAGCTCTGTAAAGCTGATACCTTGTTGGGGTTGGAGCCTGTGACGCCAATGGGATTCAGGAGATCTTCCAGGCCGTGTGGCACTGGCCACAGGTTCAGTGCCATCTTCCCAGAGACCAGTGTGTGCGTGTAGTCAAACAGGTTCACGTTTCCCCAAGCCAGTGGACAGTGCTCCTGAGAGAAATAGCACCCATTTATTAGTTTACTATTTAAAGATAAGTAGTATGATACTTTTTTGAAGTAAGGGTCAAGTTGTTAAGCAGAGCATTAATAGTTAATCAAATAAAGTCTTTGTGCCCTTCTTGTTTTCGGCTTATGTTGTCGTACTAGAGGTTCAATTACACATGTGCCAGCCACACAATGTACTCGACACTAGAGTAAACTTAAACACAGACAAAAGACAACTGCCTGTCTAGTCCAGCCACGCTACTCTGAATTAAAAGGGTATCGTCTTGAAATGAGCTGGCACCTCTTTCGCGCCCTTCCTCCCCTTCACGGAGCAGATGGACAAACACAGACGAGCAGCCCGGGGAATGTCAGGAATGTACATGTCATACGTAAGCCACTCATTCCACCTGAGAAAGTAAGAGAGAAATAAAATGAAACACCTAGAGACGCCAAAAGACAATACCACCTTTTCCTTTCCAATTCCAATATTAAAACCTAGTCAGCCAATGCCCGTCCAATTTTTTTGGACTGCCTAAATACAGCTCATTACACAGAAAAACAGGAAACTCTAAACTATTCTCAAGAAGCACAATGAATGCCAATTGTTTATAGGCTTGTAACCTTCCTTGCCGTGTATACAGTCAGGTCCATAAATATTTGGACAGCGACACAATTTTTTAAATTTTCCCTCTGTACACTACCACAACGGATTTGAAATGCAGACTTTCAGCTTTAACTCAAGGGGTTTAACAAAAATATTGCATTAACCATTTAGGAATTACAGCCATTTTTACAGTCTCTCCATTTTCACAGGTTCAAAATTAACTGGACACACAAACAATTATAAATACAAGGATTATTTTTAATACTTGGATGCAAATCCTTTTGCAGTCAAGGACTGCCTGAAGTCTGGAACCCACAGACATCCTCCCTTGAGATGCTTTGCCAGGCCTTTACTGCAGCCACCTTCAGTTGCTGCTTGTTTGTGGGGCTTTCTGCCTTTAGCTTTGTCTTAGTAAATAAAAACCATGCTCAACTGGGTTGAGGTCAGATGACTGACTCGGCCATTTAAGAACATTCCATTTCTCTGCCTTAAGAAGCTCTTTCAGGAACCTATCTTTCATCTAGGTTCCTGAAAGCAAACAAAGCCACCCTGAGATAAACTAGCCTATAGCCATAGCATGCACTGTTAATAACATCTTGTGAAATTGTTGTTTTAGCAATGAAAAGAACTGTACTCCATGTGCTCTATTGAGATGCAGGCTATATTGAGTATTTTGATCTCTTTTATGCAATGGTAGGGCCACACCATACTTTTAACATCTATGTCTAAATAACGAAGAAAGGCAATACCCTTAATAAACAGCTACCTTATCGCTAGAAGTCATAAAATTCGTACTAATGCTGGCAAACTGTTGACGATGAGACAAAAATTCTACAGGCGTGCTTTTGTTGACAGGCGACAATGGGAGGCGGATGAAAAAAGTTTGTGTTACTGTAGTTCACCTGTTTAACCGCTAGAGGTCTAAATCTCAATTTTGTCTCCTGCACCTTTAAGGTGATCACCTAAACATAGGCTAGCATGTTTGAATAGTTTGAGCATTACTGTCCCACAAAAAGAAACAGACAGTTAACATCATCACACAAATCGAACGTGTGGTATTTCAGCCTTGATGTGATACAGGACTGGATTGGATCCAATTTCCGATAAAGCATTTTCTGCCGAAAACAGTCCGATAGCCATGTATCAATATCTACACTACCATCTCTATATCGACATATCAAGCACTACGAATGTGCAGCACACTGTCTGCTTCAGGTATTTTGGCAGTAGATGGAGTTTTGTAATACCTTGGGTTTGAACAGGGTACACGTTGCGTGTTTACGTTGTCACACATCTGCTCTCCTCCATGGTAGATTCCTGTCCGGACATAAATCTAAAACACAGCATAAAAAGCTATAAGCTACCACTAGCTACAAAGAGCATACAAGGCCACACGACATTAATAAGACAGGATGTGAATGCTGTACAGTATAAACAGCCTTGTCTCTACATAGCCTTAATTATCGCTTTCTAAAAAAAAAAAAAAGCAAAACACAAACAGACTGAAATACCGTCTACGCTCCACAAATTACAAGAGTTTAGTGTGTGTATAATCTACATATATAGACATATTGTCTGGAATCCTGATCAGAGCTATTAGAGTAAGCACCTTATCAATATCCCGGATGTTCACATTGACGTATGTGGCACAGAGGACACGTATCCTCAGGGTGCTGTTGATGGTCCATAGGGATTTGCTGGAGGCCTCCCCGTTCATGTATGGCGTGGCTGTGGAGATGCGGCGCGAGTAGGATGGCATGGTGAAGTTGTCCATGGGCAGCTGAGAGTACAGGCTATCCTTAGACATCAGCATAAGGTTTGGCATTCGTCCCAGCATAATGCAACTCCTCACATACTGTGCGAAAGAGAGCAAAAGTAAGAGAAAGAAAGAATGTGTTTCTAGGCACAAACCCTATGTAATAATCAGAGGCATATCTTGTGAACAACAAAACTGTCCAAAATCCACCATGCTATTTATAGCTGCCTAAGCACTACTTTCAGCGGTGCTGTTTGGTATTAAGAAAGACGACTGGAGGACTTCAAACGGAGACACAGGATATACTGGCTACCCATTTGGGAGAATTAAAGCTTCGTATGAAAAAAACAAGGGAACGTAATGAGAAAATCAGACAGAAGACATCTCAAAGTGCCTCTTTCAAATCAAGCAACTTAGTCAGCATTCAGCGCAACAATACAAACTCCAATTGGGGACCATTAAAGACAACAGACTTCAAATAACCCTGCAGGCTGACTGGGGATTAGGGATGTGCATTCCAGCTAATTTTTCTATTTGAGTATCCATAAGAATTCATGAACGGATATTCGGTTAGCTGTGAAGAATGCCGGGGGGGCGGGGGGCAGCATTGGTGTTGCATGAAGAAATTAGCAAAAAAAAGGGAGATTGGCAGGTTTGTGATGGAGGAGTACTGCCTCAAATGAGCTAATGTGCTAAAAAACTCCCGCTAACCGCCACAACACTGGAGACTTGTCATCTTCTACAGTCATTTTTTCCTCTTCAGTGGACGATGTGCTAAGATGTTAGTTTATCAGAGCAATATATTTGAACTGTCTTGGGACCAATCATCAGTCTGGCCCATTTAGCGATAAAAGCCAAACTGTCTCTACCGTCTCAATCACATCCTTAATAACGCTCCCAGGTTAAGGCACTCGTATTTTGGAGTAGCAAAGTATAACATAACATACTTACTCGCAAAACTCACATTTTACAAGCCTGATAAAACACAATATTCACATTTCACTGAATTTTCTGTGTATTTTCTCCATCTTCCTTTGAAGATACTCAACGAATACCTGAAGAGTGATTTCAGTATTTGAAACTGCTGGCACCTAGAAAGGTGAACTGAAAACTTAAGGATCCGTGCACATCCCTACTGGGCACATTCTATGTGTAGTGATACAGAACAGTTGATGGGCAGTCTACCTTATACTGACTGATGGGGTACTTTTCCAGCAGGTACTCGTCACAGCCGCACACTTTGAGGATGTATTTGCCCTGATACTCCTGCACACACATCTTCAGCTGCTCGGCAGATAGCAGCATGCTTCGCGTCTTCTTTCTGATGGCTTCTGCTATCACCTGCTCAGGGACGCAGTCGTGGTTGATCTTCAAGGTGTACTTCTGCTTGTCATTGTTGGGTGACACAATCACCCAGATGACTACAATGATCTGACCTGGATTTAAAAGGAAGTGAAACCTAAACGAGTGCATGGTTCAGCTTATTTAGTGTAGACATTTCAATAAAATAGTAGTGAAATTTGTTAAAAGAAGTGTACTGATATTTGCCATCTAAACGTTTTGTCATATCACAACTATATTAATTTTATCAACGACTCCAAATAAATAGAGCTATGAAAGAAGTGCATGTGTAGAGCTTGTTGGGCATGAATTCTTGTGCTTCACTGCCAGAGGCATTCTCTCTGGGAAAAACAACATGTCATATGCTTCACGATTACTCTGAAAAGAACTTCACCACAAATCCAAGAAAACAGCCTGAATTAAGCACAGAACTTTCCAGTTAATGTTAGTCAATGTTAGGAAAATAAAAAGTGACGTCAAACTCGTGGCCATAGACAACAGTGGTCTCCTTTACCTTTGTCTAATTTGCCAAAGATGTGCTTCGGAAGCTCTGGTGATGACTCCACATTCGGAGGGTAAACATATAATGCTCTACTATGGGGTCCGTTCGCATCTCGGAGTTCTACTGCATCTTTGCAGACATTAAGAATATTTCTCCTGAAGTCCTGCACTTCAGGATCCTTCACTAAATCAAACTCGCACACAGGCATACCAATTGCAAAACCTGAAACACAACAAACAGGGAAAACATTAGTTTGAAAAATCCTTCAACACAATGCATAGACGGACGCCATATTTATATGGGCAATATGATGATGATTATTGTTATTGCATTATTGTAATCAAACTTATCAGATGTCAGAAAAAATAAATATCTTGGCATATAATGTGAAGAATTGAGAAGTTATATACTTTTGCCATATTGCCCCGCTCAATTCAAAACTTTCATTTATTTGTTTGTTATAATTATTACACCATTTAAAACCATCAGTTACACTTTATGTGGTGTAAATATTTCACAACAAGTGGATCAATACAAGTGGTGCTAAGTTACCTGGAATCAAATTTGGCTACATAAAGAAGCTACATATGAACTGTTGTTTCTACATAATTCACCCAATACAGGCGTAAATAACCTTGACATAAAACAGTAATTCTTTACTTTAACCTCAACTTTCATGTACATATCTGCCGATGGCACTACCAATGTTGATACACAGGCTAGGCTTTTACAACATTGCAGCAATTAGGACTAGATATGTAGACATTTTAGCACAGTAGCCCAGAGCCACCTAAACATTCTTCTCTTTCAAAGTGCAATAAATACGTTATCAAATATCGGTTTGGAAAAATTGGTCAAATCTGTCCGATGCCAACTTTTTTATAAGCAAATACCTGTCGATGCCAGTATCACTGATTTCATCTTGGATGAAAACAGGCCAGCGCACATGCAGGTTTTCATTCCAACAAAGCAGGAAAACACATGATCAGTTGAAGATTAAGACCAAGTGATTAAACATGTGGAAAACTTGTTTGGAATGAAAACACGCCAGCCCTTTGCGGATAAAATTGGACACCCTTACCTGAGATCCCGAGATCTAAAATCAGCTTCTCCCACCAATAAAAGTACACTCTATGGGCTCACTGAATATTGGGGCAGAATGTATGCTTGTATTTTATGTGAAAAATAAATAAATAAATAAATAAAAACACACAACACACTTATGTGGCATTCCTACCGATTTCTCGGTTGAGAATTTTCTCCTCCCTGTTGCCCACAGGTTCGATGACTTTTAGGAAAGGCTGGAAGAGCCTGAGATCACAGAGTCTCCTAGTCTCGTCATAAAACTCTTCCCGCTCAGCCTCCTGTGTTACGCTGACAAAAATGTAGGAGGTCTCCTCTTGTAAAAGGTGGTGGAGGGGGTACTTCCTGGCTTCCTTGAACAGTTCATGCTTGATGGTGATAAGCGTGGCCTCACGGAGGCACTCCAGGGTCAGGATCATGCCGTTAGGTAGTAGACAATCCACCAGAATCCTGGGGGGCATCAAATGGATGCCCCATAATTCTCCAGATGACGGCCTTGGAGGCATGGTCTGTAGCCCTCACAATCTTTCAGTACAGAGAAAACAAAAACCAACCTTTTTGTCCCCTATGAAAAGAAAAGGATTTATGAGAGCTTTTCAGTTTCAATCTTACTTAGCACCTTGTTTTCATTTTAATGTTAAATGTCACTTGACGAGAGGAGGAACGCAGCACAGCATAATAAGTATATATACAACAATCTTTGCTGACTCAAAGAAAATCAACACCTGAGTTCCCAACAAGGAACAAGTCCTACCAAGCAACGCCAAAAATCAGGTACTTGAAGGAATAAACAGTCATAACAAAACTGAAACAGAGCAAAAGGCAACTGTATTCTAGCTGTCAAAGCTTGCGTATTATAAGCAAGAGCAAACATAATAAAGTGAAACAATTTACAGAATAAGAATCTATAATAATGTCCATATCAGTTAACATGAAATTATAGCCCATCTGAAAACTTGATCACAATTATGTTTATTTTTTTCAAAACATTAGCATACAGCCAAGCTTTCCAATACTATGGCTAGAAATTTAATATGACAGTTGACTGCCCAACTCCCTGTCTTTAAAATAAAAAATACAGGACCGAATAACCCTACATAGAGGACACAGCAGAAGCCTGCTCCAGATTTAAAACTGAGAGACCAAATTTATAACATCCTAGTCACAGCAACCATGGACACCTCACTGGCTGCTGTCTTGATACAAAACAAGATGTGTCATCCAACAGCTTACAGGAAGAAAAGGTACAAGCCCATATCTGAGTCACTCCGCAATGAAAAGAATTCATCACTCAGTGAGAGGCAAGTTATTTCCCTTCCACATGGAGCCAAAAACATTTGGCACTTCTCACACAAGTGAATGACTTGTGTTTTTCCTCCCTGTACTGACATCAGCCAACCAGCCTGAGAGACAAGTGCATCTTCTAGAGTTAAGCCACCATAGACAAGTCGCACCATGCAATGAAGGATAGGGTACGGGATCAGGGAGCATTAGTCACTGCATTTCAATGAATGCTTTGAAAAACACTGACCCCTCTATCTTGTGAAAAAGTTCAAATCAAACAGCTCACTAATCCTAACTTATTTGAACAACAGGGTATGTGGAAACCAGGAGAATTACAGAGTGCATTAATATGTTAGGACATAACAGAGTCATACACATAATCATAGCCTGCACATCCAATGTAACAGCCAAATGCAAATTAAGATGACTTACCTTAACTAAGTTTTAATCTGAAAACTTCTGGCCTCATACTGGAAACCATCAGCTGAGTTTTCAGCTGGAAACAAGCATCTCTTCTAGCAAACAGTGCCAGTGCAGTGTTCTGTAAGGATGACAAACGGAACACATTCGCTGTCATGATAAACAACAAATAATGACAACAATAACGTTACACTCTGCCTAATTATAGACAGACGACATAATTCAGTCCCTCGCGAAGTGGACAGAATTTCTTTGGACTCAATATGACTTTAATACAGAGACATTATCAAAGAAAAACAGCACCACCACCATGAACATCTAACTAGCTAACTAAGAAAAAACAAACATACGGTAACGTTACAACAGCGGACACTAGCAAAAAACATACTTACGAGAAAAACACAACAGTAAGCTCGTTAAACATACGCTTGCAAGCAGACATCAAGCTCGCTTTCGAAAAGGACAGCTTTAGAAAAGGTGAATGCAATTTAGCGTCGTTCAGTCGGCAAAAGTGCAACGGATCAAAACTTGAAACAACCTGGTCAGAGGTAGCTATCGCTATCGTTGGCTAACCTAGTTAACCTAGCTAGCTGCTAAGAATGACTGTACTATCTGGACACAGGCGAAATAAACAACGCGCTTAGGCTGCATCGCCAAACGACAGATTGTACATGGCTAATCCATTTATTTTAGCACCCTTTATCTCTGTTGCTATCCTGCTAGCTAGCTAATCTACTCTCAACTAAATTAGCGACCCAGTCTAGCCAAGTAAACTCTCATGTCAAATACACTAAAATTCATCAATCGTAATGACACTGTAAATGTTATGCTCACCATATGCAATCCACATATGTAGCTAAGCGCATCAGACGTAAACAATTAGATAACTAACTAGCCAATAGCTCGAGTGCAAGCCTTCGTAAAGTAAGACAGGTTAGCTAATTAGAATGGGAGTGTCCTAAATCATCAGTAAAGCTAGAATAAACCCAGGCCTCACTCCCACCTCTTGCAGTTCGGCTAACCTAAGTTAGCCAGCGAGCTAGTGTTCGTTTTTAGACCAACAGACACAGGTCTAAGCCACATTTGTCTGCTTGCTGCTGGGGAAACTGAATAACGTTAGCTAGCGTTAGCTAACTGACTGGAGCCGCCGCTTAGCCACAAAGCTAACTAGCTAGCTTGGTGGCTAGCTAGCTAACGTTATCTGATTTGAGGAACTTTGTAAACAATTTTCGAGACTAGCCAACCTGCAGCATCTGGTTAACTTCTCGATAGTCCTTCAGTTAGCCAACCGGCTCGTAGCGATTTATACACTTAAATGGTTGAAGGGGCGGGTGAAATCCATAGAATAGTGTTTGGAAAGCTACGTACCCTCTAGAGTTCAAATCTGGGAGTAATCCGCTGCTGGCGCTCTCCACTCCAGTCCCGCACAGAACTACAAAGCGCAGGCGACGCTCGGGCCTAGCCGCGCCGGCCTGACAGGAGCAGTCTCTCCATAGCAACGACGGACGGCTCTGCTCGTTTGTCTTCTCGCAACAGATGAAACACAAATCGCTCATTACCGAGCGCGGGGAGAACACATTGCCTCCGCTGTGCGTTCGTCCGACTTGGATAGACAGGAAAAAGCTGTAGTCATGATATCGTGTGAAGATTATTTAGCGTTAAATAAGCTCCGAGACGGTCCTCGGCAGTGTGGCAGGCTAACCGCAGCGCTGCGCCGGTCTGCTGTTTGGTGGCCAGTTCCTCTCAAAACACTTCGCTCGCGCGAGTTTTGATGGGCTCGGCGAGAATAGTTGAGATTGTGTGGAAACTTCAGGGAGCTCCGCTCATGGCACCCTGCACAGGCTGCTGAAGAGAGATGGAAGATAATGAGGCCAGAAATAGCATGTACTAACATGAACTTTGTGCTTACACAAAATTCATAGTCACAGCAAATGATGAAAACCCAAAATGACTGGAAATGTCGGCAAAACTCCAATGAAAAATACACATGAATGAACGCAGCGCAGGGAGTCATATAGAATAAACTACTGAGCGTAACGTCAGATTCAACAACAATGCATGACGCTTAGGTAGCCTATATTAATCTGTAATCCTTTTGTGTGTGTAAGTAAGTAAACAAGTGTGTGTGTGTGTGTGTGTGTGTGTGTGTGTGTGTGTGTGTGATTGTTATGTGGAGCATGCGTATCTGGAAAAGACACTGCTTCCTTTATCCTGGAACTGTAATATCTGTATGAACTAATGAGCTTTACAGCATGTTGGACAAATTAAGAAAATACATTTCCTGCTGACCTTAATTTGTAAATGGAAACAAATAAAGTATATGTTGTAACATACATACGTATACATAATCTAAACCGCTTATCCTTCTGGGTCGCGGTGGGGTGCTGGAGCCTATCCCAGCTGTCATTGGGCGGAGACATGCTGTAACATTAAAGGAGAATTCCACATTTTCAACATTTCCGCATAATTTAATCGTTGAGATGAAAGCAAAGTCATTCCGAGTGGTGTAATGTGGAAAAGTGCATTGTAGAGAAACTTTCTTTACAGCTGTGTTGATGGGAACCAAGGGCTGTGATGTCTACAACACCATCCACTGAATCTAAACGTCTTATAAGTTTTTATTCATAATATTGGTAATAATAATAATAGCTGTAAAACAATGGTAAATATGACAAGTTTAAATAATGACAAATATGACCAAGTTTTCCTTGTGAACTTTTTTGCCTGACGGTGTCCTGCATGTCCCTCAATTGCTGAAAAATAAACATAGAAAACAAAGTTTCTGTTGGCTCCTGGTGGTGCCCAATAGTCACTAATGGTAGCCTGTTTTGCGTTTTCCTTCTGGGCTGATAGTACAGTGTAGATTATTTGAATGGTGTAACAGGTGTTCTGGGACTGATTCCAGGTGCATTTGATGATTTCCTAGTGGAATCTAAAAGTGTGCTACAAAAACTAGTGGGCTCTAATGGTAACCATTGAGCCAATTCCCATTAGAAAGCAAAAACCATCAGGTTTTAATCCTGATTGCTGTAAAGGTCTTTTTTCAAATGGGTCTCTACCATACATGGATTGTAAAAAACACATTTTAGGCCAAGCCTTATCTCAAAACTGTTGTAGAGCAATGTCTCAGACACCAGGCCTTTTCTATCAGCAACAAACCCGAACAAATGTTTGGATGGTTATAAATTACCGACCTATGAACCACCTTATGAACTTTTCTGCCAGAGGCAAATTAATTTACATGTTTATCCATCCATCCATCCATCCATCCATTCACTAAGGACGTGCTTTCTCCAACTGTATAATCAATGCCACATTACACTAAAGTGCAAAACTGTCAATCACATTTCTGAGTTCTCCCTCTCGGTAGGATATGGACTGCACCAAACCGAAAGAGGGGAGTTTCAATTCAACATTGCCTTATATTTCCCACTGAGCGCTGTGCTTTACAAAGATGTTTAAGTATCCTTTCAGAACAGGCAATATTACTTAAATCTAAGCTAATCATAAGCACGGTGTCCTTCGTTTGGTATTTTTTTCGAAACCTGTCGTGTTGCGACACCCCTATACCAGAGGCGCAGGGCACGAGAGCCGCGTCTGGCTGGAAGAAGTTCGGCAGCTTTGAAGGATGCGAGGAAGATGGCGATGAATGTACGGAATAGAGATGCAGTTTATCCAAGTGCCGATTACTGCAACACCTACAACCTTCACCCTGTAACATATGGAAACAGCAGCCATTATTTCCCTCGGGTACCAGGTAGGGCGGCCTGTGACATGTTTATCGTTGCGCTGTGGCGAATGCGCCGCGCTCGAGCAGATGCACTGCATCATTTAGTGGTGCAGTAGGCTTCGGGAAATCCCACATTTTGATTTTCTCAGGTATTTATTCATTAATGTATTCGCTGTTATATTTTTGGCACATTGGTATGATTTCTCAGTGATCTTGTCGTGTCAACCAGCCGTACAGAAACGAACTGATTTAACGTTACTTTGGCCATGGTCTCTAGGTACTGGAACTGATATCGGTTCCCATTGAGCTGATAGTCTGAGATTGATTTATGGTTCTCCGTCATTGATTAATGCCATCTCATGTCGCTCTGTTAGTCAGGTCCACCTCGTCCTTCCCGTTCGGTTTAGTATCAGCCTTTTTCTGGACAGATTTTGCAGGTTGCTCTGCAGCTGATCAGATGTTTCATTCACCTCAGCTCACCTCAAATAAATATACATTCATAACATGTTTTCAGGGCTTCCCTGACTAGTTAAAACATACTTTTCCTTCCTTAAATCAAACACTGGATTACGTAGTCTGACTCAAATGTTTCAGTATCGATTAACACGTTGAGAGCCTGCCAAACAGAAAAGGCCCGAACAATGTGGTATTAATGTCATCTTTAAGGAACTACTGTGGTCTGCTATAGCAAGAATGACTCATCTTCGGTCAAATAGTCTAATATTGGGAAATCCACTTGCACAGCAGAGTGAACGGGTTCATGGCCCTGTTAACATGATCATATTGTAACTGTATTTGCGAAAGACTCTGACTCAGGTTTTGGTACAGGGTTGAGGTTACCTCAGGTTATATGTGTCATACTCTTTGATTTAGAAATTATTCCTTTAGAACTAAATAAAACATTTCAGTTTTATACAGTCTTTTGCTTTTACTGTTACATGAATGTGGACTGTGTTATATTATAGGTGCCATCAGACTTAATAGGTTTATTCGCTTTTATAAAAGCTGCTGCTTGCTTCTGGCAGTCATATGTTTTCTGTTGAAAAGAAATATCTCACAGGTGTCCTGCACTGGTAAGTCGTGTAAGACAAGCTCCTGCGCCAAGCAGTTTCTACCTTTACCTTCTCGTGTACTCAGTGCACCTTGCATTATAGATGCCTGAGGGTTGCATCTTTCACTGAATGAAAGATTTTGCGCTACTCTGATAAAAGTTGTTGCCCTGCTTGTAGGTTAAAACGTTGACTAAATTCTGGAGGAAAAGACAGTAGGGTTGTGACTCTGACCTTGAGCTGCAACTATGTAGGTCCTCCTTGAGCCTATTTCTGGACTTGTATTCTCTGATGACCAAGACATATCAGGTTTGTCTTCTGGCACCAAATAGAGTGAGGGGGGAGGTACGGGAATTGGCATGGCATAGTTTATTTTGTTCATGTAGGTAAATAGTTTTAATATGTACTGAAATAACAGAATCATCTGGAGATCTCAGAACGTTTCCCGTTAGCCGTGTTTCTCATTCTTTTAAATTTCAGGCCTTCCTTTTTTCTCTCTTAATGCCAAGCTCTTTTGGCATTGAGGCGTCCTCCGTTCGTTCAACCGGAAGCAAAACAGTCCTTCGCACTCTGATGCTATTTCAGTCTACTGAATCATTGTCGTCAGGACTCCATCGGAACTGATACAGTGGAAACATTGGGACAGCAGTGCAGCAGCTGACTGTCCAACCCCCCACTCAGCCACAGATCCGCCCTTAGCAATGTACACACAGATGAGAGCCAAAAATGTCCACAGTCGAGTAGGCAGGAGTCAGCCATAATCACATCTATAGTGAGAGATGCAGAAAAGACCCACTGTTGCTAGAAGGAGGCTCTGTGCCTTCACCGCAGGGGCTGAAGATAGCCTTGTATTGCTCACCAAGCTGTCAGCCTTGCTGCAGTTCAACCGTGCTATTGTAAGGGAGGCTAATTTGCTGCACTTGATTGCATATGCCTTTTGTACGGGGATTTCATTATCATTTTTTCCTTCATCTCTTCTCTCTTCTATTTTTTTTCCTTTGTTAACTCTGACCCTTATATGTTACTTATGGATTGGCTTTCAGGTCCAGAGACTGTTCTGAAACCACCTCTGAATCTAATGTGTCAACAACAGTCTCAGGCCTTCCAGCCTGTATCCCCCACCCAGACCCTAGGGCCACCCCCAGTGATGATGTCCCCAGACCCCCTCGCTTTCCCCCTCTGCAGCCCCCTGCCTGCCAAGCCGCCTCCTCACTTGCAGCTGGTTCCCAGCCCTCCTATTACAGTGCCCCCAGTCTCCAGCCCCCAGCTCCCTGAGGAGGAGTGCCAGAAAGTGGGGACTGAGCAGGACGCTACCCTGGAAGAGTTGTGTAAGCCCCTGTACTGCAAACTGTGCAACGTCACGCTCAACTCAGCCCAGCAAGCGCAGGCCCACTATCAGGTGAACATTGTATACTGAAATTCAACAGGATTGAAATCAACAGGATTTCAATCTTTTATTTTTTTTAATTTTATGTTTTTTTATTAAATATTTCTTAATGGTCTGAATATTTGTTAATTGCCTGGTCTGTTTAGTGTATGTTATGCATGTGTGCACTCACCAAGACAAATTCATCATAAATGCAAAAGTTTGGGCACCTCTGGTCAAATAACGTCTCCTTGATTTTGAGTATAAATAAGTTAACACATGCTCTACAGAGACCATACGTCTGCAATTTTAATGTATGCTGTTTATTTGCTAAATTAAAAAAGAAAAACAAAAAAAAACATAAAATGTGGCATGTACAAAGGTTTCAGCACATTTATTATGTTGTTTTATTTTTTCATAATATGTTCAGCTCAGGGAATACATAGAAGTTGTACTGTAAAATTAACAGGAAATTGCCATATTTAACTTATTTTATGTAGAAAACCAAAAAATGTAATTTGACCATGGTTGTTCAAACTTTTGCATACTTAGTCATTAAATAAAATCAACTGTGATACAGAAAAAATGCATAATAATGGACACAGTGGTTTCTTCTCACTTTAATATAGTTTGTTTCTTGGAAATTGTGTAGTATTTGACTTCTTGAAATATTTTCAGTATCACTTTATTTGAACGCTGCTACAAAACATTGGCTTAGACATGTTATAAACCTGTCGCAGCAGAAATCATATGCTATCATGAGATGTTTGATAATATAACATCGTGTCGTGTTAACATTACCAGTCAATTGTCATGACAGATGCCATAATGTTTGATGTTATGAGGGCTAACTAGAGTACACAGCAAAAATTAGCATGTGACATAAGCTACCATGACATCAAACATTCTTGCATCTGTCATGACAATTACCGTTAATGGTAACATGATGCTTACTGATCAAAATCAGTCATGACAGCATATGATATCTGCCGTGACATTTTTATGGAATGGCCATGTTGAAGTTACGTTCAAGTAAAATGTTATGGTATTTTCTCATTGTTTTTCACTTTCTGATGCAATTAGTCACCATAAGAATACTAATGGTGTTACTCATTTTGTCCTAGTTTCTGTCCTTATAGTGAAAACATGATGCATGTTTTTGTTTCATTTCAGGGCAAAAACCACAGCAAGAAACTGAGAAATTTTTATGCTGGTAGTCAGCAGCCACCCCCTATCAGAATACCAGAGGAAGTAGAGCCAATTTCACAGCAGTCCCTCTCCACTCCACCCACAGAGACTGCCACTGCAGTGGTCAAACAGGTAAAAACTCCTCATATGTTTTTTTTCTTTCCTTTTAACCAGACTTTTCACACAGTAAAAGCAAAACAGACTGCCTTGCGCTACACGGGCTGCCTTTTTCACAGTCAGCCGGCGAACAGCCGCAGCTTTAAGCGCAGTTTGATCGTGTGGTGTCAGTCTGTAAGTCTTCATTCAGCAAAGTCAGCGTGATAGTAATCAGAGCCAGCCTCTGAGCCAGTGAGCCTTTCATCACTTCTACCTTTCTCTTGCTTGCAGCCGCCCTTCAAGGGCCCCAGCAGGGTCATCCTGGCCACGGAGAATGACTACTGCAAGCTTTGCGACGCGTCCTTCAGCTCCCCCGCCGTGGCCCACGCCCACTACCAGGGCAAAAACCATGCCAAGAGGCTCCGGCTCGCCGAGGCCCAGCAAGGCGCCAGCTCTTCGTGAGTTTCACAACGCCCACAGCAACCTACATACTCTGTTTACTAAAAGTCAGGGATGCCAAGCTTTTCAGCATGTTTTCTTTGTTGGTTTGCAATAACGTAACTTAAATACTAACAAGATGTATTCTGAGATTGACCATATTTACTAGTTTGCAATAACAATTTTCCTCAATTGTCTGTAATATTAAAGCTGCACTACGTCAGATTTTTTGGTTAAAATTGAAAAAAATAGTATTGATAAGTCTGGAGAAAAACAACACACCAAAATATGGTATCCATGTGCCGTGTAATTTAAAAGTCAAAGCTGTCAGGTCAGATTTTTGTGAGAGTTTTTTGGACCGCATCATATGTCTTTGCATATTAACGTCATGCCCACAAAGTCAAAAGATGGTCTGGCTTGATGTTAAGGTCTCAAATGCAAAATCAACACTGTACTGACAAAGATATGATGACAATAGTAGATAATTCACTTACGTCCACAGCATGTCGTTCACTAAGTTATGACTTCATTCTATTTGAATACACTTTTAATATGCTCACAGACATCAGATTCATCCACTTGGAGAGGGAGTCTGAAGCACAACATGGCATTACAAAATGTTCTTTCACACGTTGCATACAATTACACATTTCCACCAGAGAGGTCACCAAATCCCCAAAACGTACACAGTGTAGCTTTGTAGAATTAAAACAGTTGAGTTGAATAATACATTTGTAAATATTCGAGATTCGTTTATAACAGTTTTACCTTGGGAATAAAGCTAAAGCCCAAACATTGTTGTGACTCATCAGCACTCACAACACAGTGTTTCAGTTGCTTAAACCACCTTTGGGCCAACATACTTTCTTTATTTGCTTTTCATAATAATTTGGAAAAGAAAATGGTCAAATCATTATTTAGGCAAAGCCTACTCTTTGTACCAAGAAAATAAATTGATGAACATGAAGCTGAGTTTACTAAATACATAATACAGTCTAAGCAATAAATGTTTAGTGCTACTAAATCTTTTATCTCTTACTTAATTGAAAACTAGCACAGAGAAAATTCACATTTCAAAAAAGGCAAGATGTCTCAATACTTTGGACTGGCAAACACACCAACTTGATAGAAATGACCTCATTGCACTAGTGTTGTGGTTGCTTTTGTAATGCTTATGGTTTGGATTTGAGTGAGTATGGCAGGATCTGAACCAGGCCAAAAGGGCACCTTCAACACAAGCTCACTTCCGAACAGCAGAGCGCTTTGGGAAGTTTATAACAAGCAAGAACATTTTGCATGTCAGAAAGATTTTTTTCAGTTTGGTTTTATCTTCCATGTGTTTTTGCCCTGATAACTGAGGAGCTCGTTTAAATGCCACTGTGGCTGAGAGTGATAACAAGTGCAGGAAGATAGGACACTGCATCCTGCCGCACTGTTGAACGCTTGATCATATCTGAACCAGCTAGCTCAGACTAGTTTGGCCATGCCAAATATCATGAGAGACATAATTAAAGTGGTGTAGTTTAAACAGTACAAAGTATTGTCTTGCATTTTCATTGTCGGGGTATGAACATGATCTTAGCATTTATAATTCATAAGAAAGCTTACTTAACTAACGCTTATAACATTACGTTTTGTTCTGTGTGAAGAAATGAACAAAAAAAGCTAAAGATTCTCACAGATATCAATGTTTTTGCAGAGATACAGCGGATCTCGCTCAGAGGCGTTCCAGGAAAGAAGGGAATGAGTACAGACTGAACAAGAATCGCCGGACACATGTGAACACTGCCATGCCAGGTACACTTAAGAGCCAGACAGACACTGTTAATGTAAATAATCATGTTTTGTATTGTAACCTCACATGATTAATGGCCTGTTGCTATAACGTATGTATATGCATCAGATTGCTGAATTGGTTGAAAGTCAGTGTTCAGAACCCATTTTGGACTTGATTCAGTCTCACTTCCCGCTCTAAAATGCTGGGGTGTGGCTAGAAATAAGGTTCTGCCTAGTGGTCTAAAACTGTGTTTTGGTAGTGACATGAAAACGTGGGACATTTTTAGAGTAAAGTTTTTTCATTTAAAAATAAAAATAAATAATTAAATTGAAATCTATTATTTTCACTTTAAAATAAATCAGAAAGATCTTTAAAAAAATTGAAAATGCAAAAAAGTAATGTATTATTTTCACAAGTTGAAATTTAGGGAGTAGGGTTTTGTACAGCCACCTTTCAATAGAAAGTACTACATAAATTATGAACTTATAAATGTATAGGTTCTTACCATCTCAGTGAATGCCTTGGATTTTATAGATAATAACATAATGCTTATAAATATCTAAGCTCTGAATACTTAAATGTTTTTTTAAATAGTTTTTTAATGTTTAACTGCAGTTTGAACTAATTCTGTAGAATGGTGCATATATTGTGGCTGTTGGAACAAAACTCCAGCTGCCTTTTGCACTCTTTACTTATATTGCAAGAAAAAAATAGTTTTTGCCTTCTGCAGTGATGTTACCATTTTGGAGATGTAAGGTTTTGTTTTGACAGCAACAATATAAATTGCTGTGCAAAAGTCTAAGTAAATAGTAAATTGTTTAAAGCAAATAGTAAATTGTTTAAAACTGTTCATCATAGCAGTAAGTGTATTTTTTTAACCAGTAAAAATGCAGTATAATATTAGAACAGAAAACAAAACAAATAAACAAAAACATGTTTTTGTTTCACAAAAAGTAGTGGATGTCTTGTGAGCTAGTTAGAAGAACTTCTCCCCAGTGCCACGAGCCACATAGATTTGTTCAAATCCATCATCAGCACACTGATTTAATTTAATGAAGCACTGATTATCCAAACCAAGTATTGGATGATAACGTAAAAATACTAGGCTGCCACAAGGAGAGATTTGGTAATGGTTAAACCGACACGCTGACATACACACAATCAGCTCTGACTGTATTAATGTTATTTGTATTTATTCTGAGCGAATAAATGCTTGACTGCCCAGATAAATTGCTTTTTTAATTTCCGCAGGTGCTTAAAACATTTGCATTGAACTGTAATACATTCATTACAGTCTGTATTTTTAAGAGATGTTGCTTGATTATGTGTTATTTATAAGGTTTAAACTATGGGTGTAACGATACACATATTTTCAAGGTTACGATTTTAAATTCCAAGTTAAAGATTCAATTCGATTTTCAACATTTTTCAAAATGGCTTGACTCTGCATTGCTCTAATTTTACACAGAATAAATGAACTGAGATAAAAAAAGTTCTCCAATACAGCTTTATCAATGCCTGCTGTGCCAGCCCTCTGACAAAATAAGCCCCAAAAATCACAACCCCTTAAATTTATGAGCAATTTGCAGAAGCCCTTCCCCTCACCACCTACTTTACTCTGATACGATGTACCCAGCTGAGTTTTTTTCATGCTACAGTTTAACATTTCAGTATGCTGTTTTCAACATTGTTTTTCCAATTTGTCTATACAGTATGGAAATCTGTCAAAGGAATTTTAAATGTTGCTAACACTTTATTTAGATTTCCAGTATACATCTACTATACATACATTCTGACCTTTAGTGTTGCCAGATTGGCCAGCTTCCTGGCAAATTGCTTATCTTTTGGTTGGATTGGGAGAGGAAAAGTGCTTTGGCAGGTGGACAAAATTTGGGCTTGCCTATAAAAGTAAGTTTTGAAAAAGAATATGAGAAATAGTTATTCTTCTTTCATTGCTTGAAATGTTATTGTAGGTTTTTGTCTAAAAATATGTAATAAAAAAGCTTTTGGTTTTTCATACCAGTCACAATAAACACAAAAGACTGACAGTGCAGTGATCAGTACTTATCTACAAATTTTCAAAGGTGAGACAGAAATAGCGAATGTCCCCCCAGCTGGTAAATATTGATGTCTAGCTTGTTGAATGCTGTAGTAGTGTGGTTAAAATGCTAACCTTTGACTTTTTTGATACTTTTTGGGTGTTTTTTTAACCTTTTTGTCAGGCAACCCTGCCTACCTTGTCATAAGCTTACATTCAACTAAATATCTTTTAACATCACCTTAAATTTTGCCAAGAGTAAATGTAACACTTACTAACCTCACACAAACCTTAACCTCAATTGAAAGCCTAAAGCCTAACCCCAGTATTGGTTCTAGTCTGAACGCTAACCCTGACATTTCTGAGAATGAAGTCCCCACATAGTTTGTTATTAAGTCCAGTATCTTTAGACAATCTGTAGGGGACTGTCCAAAAAAAGTGGGACTGGAATAGCATTTCACATAGATCGTTTTTGCGTTGTATCTAAATCTGAGTTCTTGCAATGCAGTCGCTAGCTTTAGATGCTGGGTTGAGTTGTGGTGGTCACATATCTGCACTCTTGTGTGGAGAGTGGCTTGCAGGGGGTCGGTTTCTGGCCAGTGGTCAGAGCAGTGGCGCTAAATGCTAAATTTCTGATCCGTGCTTTGGCAACAGGGCCTTGTTTCAGGGGCTGGCAGCAGTGCTGAGGGATAGTGGGCCAGTCTGCGCGAATCCAGCGTACCGCAGTAGCCTCGCTAAATGCGGGCGCGGCGCCAGGCCTTTGGTGTTTGCAAACCGATACTCCACCCCACGTCAACCCGGCCCTTCGAACGTCACCCGCATGGTGGCAGGTCTCGATCACACACATGCCCTTGCTGACCCTTCCACACACCCCCAGCCTCTCCCCCACCCACCCACATACACACACACACATACACTCCATATAGCATCTTCCAGCTCTCAGATGAATCACAGAACACAACAGCACTACTCCAGCTTTAGGTTTAATCATAGTTTGAAAACAGCACTCCAGAAATAGCGAGGCATAAATTCCATCCCAAAATAAAATGTGGTTTAGTCGCTTATTCCAACTGACAATGCGGCAGTATTAAGACTGCAGTTTATCTCGTTAAGTTCTGATTGAAGAATGCATGATTGCTCATTAAGTTAGCTCCGTAAGATGCCACATAAAGATAGAGTGCAGTGGTCATGGAAGGCCTGTGTTTCCCTAAGGCTACTGGCATCTGTTCTCATCAGCTCATGCTGAACACTTTGGTAAAGAGCTCTAAGCAACTGTGTGTGGATTTCTCTAACAGTGTATCCACATGTGTATATTTCTGTACTCTGAAAAAAGTAATGCATGGAATTCACTTGATATAAATGTGAGCATACAAACCTCAATTCCAAAAAACGTTGGGATGGTGTGTGTAACGCTAATAAAAACAGTAAGCAGTGATAAGTAAATTCTGTTTAACCTTATTAAATTGGATACAATAAAAAATGTACAAAACAGCACCCTTTAACAGCACATAATCATTTTGGGACAACAAGAATTGATCCAGTTTTGAAAGTAGAATTTTTTGCCATTCATCCATTATAGTCTTCAGCTAGGCAACCATATGTGGTCGTCCTTGGCGTATTTTTGTGCTTCATAATGTGCCACATGTTTTCAGTGGGAGACAGGTCTGGACTGCAAGCAGGCCAGTCCAGCACCCACACTGATTATGCAGCCACGCTGTTGTAACACATGCAAAACGCGGCTTGGCATTGTCTTGTTGGAATAAGCATAATTGTCCCTGAAAGAGACTTGAAGGCAACATCTGCAGCTCCAAAATGCCTATATTTCTCTCAGCGTTCATGTTACCTCCACATATGTGCAAGTTATCGTTCCATGAGCACTAATGCTCCCCCATACCATGACAGACTCTGGCTTTAGAACTTTACACTGGCAACAATCTGGATTATCCTTTTCTTCTTTGGCCTGGAGAACACAACATGTATATTTTCCATAAACAATCTGAAAGACCACAATGCACATTTCCTTTGGGCATCACTGATCATTCGTTACAGACGATGTTGAGCGCAGAGAAGTCGGTGGCATTACTTAACGTTTTTGCCGTTAAATATGGTTTCCACTGTGTATAGTACAATCTCCTACTGCATTTGTTTATTGACAACAGCTTGTCAAAGTATTTCTGAGCCCATATCCGTCACAGAAATGTGCTGTTTTTAATGCAGTGCCATCTGAGTGTTTGAAGGTCACAGACATTCAGTTGTGGTTTTCAGCCTTGCTCGTTACGAACTGAGATTTACCCAGATTCCCTGAAACTTTTGATGATATTAAGAACCGTAGAGGCTGAAATACCTAAAATCCTTGCATTTGCTCATTGAGAAAAGTTGTTCTTAAATTGTTAGTTTATTTGCCGGCGCATTTTTTTGGCAAAGTGTTGAGCCTCGATCCATACTTGCTAGTAAAGGTTTAGGCCTTTCCTGGATGGTCCTTTCATACCTTAGCATGACTGCAACATCTGTTTAAGACGTTTCTTTTAGAACATTTCATAACGTTCCTAGTTTTAAATTGCCCCTCTATCAACTTTGCATGTGTTGCATGCATCAATTTCAGAATTAGCACTTATTTACAAAAAACAATTAAGTAAAGGAAAACATGCATAGCATATAATGTATATCTTGTCCTCGTACTGTTTAAATATAGCTCAAAGTGGATTTACAAATGACTGCTTTCAGTTCATAGTGGCATTTCACATACTGTCCCAACTTTTTTGGAATCAGGGCCTATATTTAAACTTTCACAATCCTATGTTTATGTTGCATAAAGCAGAAAGCACATTTACTGAAATACAGAAACACCGAAAATCAATAAACAAAAGCTCTGGTGCTATACCACTTTTGAAGGTCATGTTTGTATAATAATAAATAATGTTTGTTTATTTCAGCTCAAGCTGTCTGTGGGAGGTGCTAAGTATCAGCAGCAGGAAAGGAAGATATCTAGCTAACTGCTAATTTCTCTACTTTAGGCTTGTACTTCAGTAGTTGTATACAATAAAACAAAAATTAAATAATGAAATTCTTAAATGCAGTCATTTTTTGGCCAGTTAATCGTCAGCTATAATGCCATGTCATGATTGCGACAGGCCTAATTTCATGTGATTTGCTTCTATATATAGCCCCATGTGTATAAATGCGAATGCATATTTTATTTGACACATCTAGCCTACATATGCATATTTTCTGCTTGCATGCACATATTTCTGCCTGCAGGCAGAATGCCACTTTGTACTGTAGTGCTGTGAAGTACTTACATGTTGTCATTGTGCATGTACATCTCAGGGCCTTACTACAACCCCCGGCCAAGGCAGCGCATTCCGCGGGATCTGGCCATGTGTGTGACGCCCAGCGGTCAGTTCTACTGTTCTATGTGCAACTCGGGGGCCAGCGAGGAGGCTGACTTCCGCCTGCACCTGGAGAGCAAGCAGCACAAGAGCAAAGTGTCCGAACAGCGCTACCGCAGTGAGATGGAGAATCTGGGCTACACCTAGGAGAAAGAAGGCAATACTGAACAGGGAATCATCCATGTAATTCTCCAAGTGCCCAATACTGGCTTTGTTATGGAAGACTTTGCACAGAACGGTTTGGCTTTGTGGAAAAAGATGAACGAAAGCTACCTCTTGTAGAATTACAGGTGATTTTAATGTCAGATTGTGCATCTTCCTTCGGATGAACCTGGATGAAGCTTTTTGTCTTATGGTATGTAAAGAACTGGTCCATCAAAAGGAACCGTTTTTACCCTGACAATCGGGCGAGTCACCAAGTGAAAGAAGGCAGCTTTGCAGAGGTCGCCATAATTGCATATCTAGGATCAGTTTGCCTTAAAGCTCGCTAACAATTCAGACTTATTTCAGTATTAAGGTACTAATCCTAGATAAGCTTATGAGAACTCTCCAATCAGATCAATGCAGGTCTTGGTTTAGTTCTTTCTTTCAGTAGTACAATGTTATGTTGAAAATTTAATTATTTATTTCATTATATGATTTGTGTTGGTGGTTTGGTGTGTTCTTGTGGAATTATGAGTTTTCTGTGTTTTCCTTTTTTAAACTAACATAGACTTCAAATTCATGACCGTGCAATCAATGCCTCAAAAATAGGAACGCTAGGTACATACAAAAATTTAGAGGCAAACGTCCGGCTCACGGCTAGCTGTGGGTTCACTGTGTTACTTCAGGAATAGGAGCCGAGTGCCTCAGACCAAGTGTGCTGTCCGAAGAAATTAGCATTAGCATAGCAACTGGGCTTCAGGTCAGCAGATTGAAAAGTGCTGCAGGCTTCTTACAGGACCTGCTGAATGTACTATGACTGCGATGACAATATCTTTCCTCACTGGTTTTGCACAGCTGTATTGTAGATGCAGTCTGAAGTATTCACACCTACAGAGATTATTCAGTTTGTTTGCCTCATTCTGTGACATAGCTGACATATACCCCAGAAAGGCGTCTTTTCACTCTCAGTCTAGAGACTGCTGTTCGTCATGCTCTCCCTGTGGTTCTTCCCTTGGTAAGCTTTCCCTTCTCAAAATGCAGCAAAGCTCAGGGGAGCCCAAACTGGAGCTATTTTTAAAAAGGTGACTTTGGGTCAGTTCCTCTGCGCACCCCTACCTCAAATGAGAATGGTTCTTCTTCTGAACAGTCAGTCCAGTAGTAGTTTTGATAGCTTGGATAGAGAAAAATTAAGAAAACATTAGAAAGCCCACCAAGAAATTTAATGTATTAATAATGTATTAATGTAAGATATATTGACGAAACAAATAATCTATTTTAACGTATTTGTATATTTCTAGATATTTTCAGAGAAGGGACTATGAAATTCTGAGAAAAGTTACATAGATTACAAGTTTTATCAACAGCTATGTCCAGGTTCGGTACATAGTTTGTTTGTGAAGGAAAGTTTTTATTTCAGTATCACTGTATTTCGTAGCTAATTGTATGTTCAAACCTGTTTACATTCACAGAGTAATATAGACATTTAATCAAGGGCATTTGCAATATGGCAGGCTATAAGAATGCTCCCTTCTTAATACCACTCCATTCCAGTTTTGTCTGCCTCTGAATTCTGTCACTTTTTACTGTTTAAACCAGTAATAACCTGCATTATTAATTGTTGAAGTTCCTCTTTGTTTTGCGTAGTAGTAAATATGTATGATATTTAGAAACAATGTGAGCATGATAGTATTACTACTGTTGAATATTTTATAATATGTGAAAAGAGGTCAATGCACTGCAAGTGGGGAAAAAAGAGCCATTTGTTGAATCCGTTTTTCAAGTATTGCACTTGTTCAAGCAAAGAGAAAGAAAATTGTGATTAACAATTGCTTTTTGTTATCGTAGTTCGATGTTTATATGTAATTTTAATCAAATGTTTACAGCGGGAATTTAACAGGGCATTTTTGCCCCATATCACTTTACATGGTTCGCTCTACTGTATTTTTGGGGATGAGCGTAGCTCGCTGATAGCTTGTGCATCAGACTACTTTGACCTAAGGCTCTTTTTTCTGTTAATCTGATATGGAGACTAACTAGCTGCACTAATGTTGTTGGGTTTGAGCCCATACTTAGGCTGAAAGCTCAATCCTGTGCCTCTGAATCTTAAGCACATTCTGTTGGAAGTGATGTGTTCACCGTGCAGGTGGCTTGTGTTCTAAATCCGAGTTACACCCATTTACAGTGATTTAAAATACTGTAGTTGTTGTTTTCCCACCCTCATTAGTTTTAACAGGCACTTATGACTTCTGAGCTCTACAGCATTGCTCTTGAAGACCCCCAAAACATGGATAAGTTTGTATAAACTTAATTCTCAAAGCAGGCCTGGTTAAGAGAATACTTCATTGGTACATCATGATTCAAAGGTTTGGAATCGCTTGTCATATTAATATTCTATGCTATTCTATCCTGTAAAAACATATACAGAGTCGAAATATTCTAAACTACACACCAAAATGTATTTTAGATGCAAATTTTGTGAGACAAAAAGGTTATTTCATGCCAAACAATGCACTGTAATTATCTATTTATTGTAGGGATGGACAATATGACAACATTTTCTTGTATTGTGACAGATTACATCATGATACACCACAATATGCTTTTCTAAGCATATCACGAATTTTGTCAGAATACTGACCAAATGCTAGAATGTAGCTTTAACAAAATTGCAGTAAAATGCATGATTAGTCCTGTTTAATTTGATTTAGTGCAGCACAGTAAGCAAAATGTTGAATAAAAATAATTGTACTCATCGTGTTTGATGGTATTTTTAAAAGGACCCATATCCTACATTATTCTTCCATTTTATTTTATTTTCCCTGAGGTCCACTTTGACATTTGACACATTAGTGTGTTATGCCAAAAAAAGACACAATTCTTTTTTACATGACTACTTTCCAGCCCACCGCGACCCAGAAGGATAAGCGGTTTAGATGATGTATGTATGTATGTACTTTCCAGCCTCTTTTTCTCCTTTAGAATTAAGCAGGCTGTTTTTGTTACTGTACCTTTAAGACCAGTATGTGTGAATGAGCTCTATTCTGATTGGCTGTGCTCTACTGTGCCTCAAGTACCGGTTTTGAAACACTCTTTATAACTTCAGCATGAATACTGCTGTAGGCTGAATAGGTGAATATATGTAAATGTGATGGCTTGAGTGACATCACAAAAACAGTGAATTTAAAATAAGTTGTTTTGGCAGCTTAGTTTCTATATATGGGCTGTATGGGCTGCCGAGTAAATGCTGTTTTGAAACTTTAATAATATATTATTAAATAATATATTTAATAAAAGTTTACATACTGCATCACACTCATTTATTTTAAATGTAGCACTGATGATATGTTCTTTCTGTTCCACATTATCATGATACATATCATGAATTGTGAATTGTCTTCAAGTATCATAGTTTTTATGTTTACCATATCACCCACTCCTAATCTATAGTAATAGTACAGGGGCCAGAATGTAACTGCTGCCTCATTTAAGGTGGAACGAAAAAGCTCCTGAAGAAAAAGCAAACTTTACGCTTGTAGAAATTCAGACCTGGAACAACATTTATCACCGTTTTGCCAGGCCTGTGGGGCCGGTGTTAGAAAGCAGTATTGACAGATTTATTTATATATTGTTCTGTTTTGTTTTTACAATATTGTACAATAAAAATATTTCACACTTGTTAAAAGTGGCTCATATTTTATATTGGTAGGAAAAGTGGTTTTACATGATTGAAAACAGTGATTCCAAACTTTTGAATGGTGGTGTATGTCCACTGTTTGTTGGTCGAGGCGTCTTATGCTCGTTAAATGAGGCAGAACAGCTTTCAGACGTGCAGTACTTCAGCTGTGAGGGATTCAGAGTGAACATGTTTTTAGTGGCTGTGTTGGTGTTGTTCATAGCAAGGCGTTTCCTGTTGTGAGTAGCGCAGCAGTACATCTGTCCACTGTGTGGGCAGGAAGCGGTGACCCCTGTGTCCAAACTGGCCTTCCCCAAGGAAGCCGGGCCATCTCCAAAGAGAGCGCACTCCGCAGACAAACCAATCTAGCTTCTCCCTGCCAAAACAAACATCCACTTCCACCGAGCCCTCGCTCGCTGTTTACCCCAAAACTGAGCAATCGATGGCTTTGCCTCTTCATTTTGTGAAGTCTTAGCAAGGACGCTGAGGTTTTCTGAAGGGGTTTCGAGTTTGTTTTATTTTGAGACCAATCAAAATAAGATCTAACTGTAGTGCCTTCTGAAACCACATTTTTCATTTCATGGATGCCTTTGGGAACTGTGTCAGACCGATATTGCGGTTGTTGTTCAGCGAAGGCTGAAATGTTGATGGTGCAATATGTGGCAATATATGACTTGATTTTTTTTCCTTATATAAATATAAATGTTACATAAAATTATTTGACAAGTACTGTGGTGTAATGAATGTACTACATGTTTGAGAGATGAAAAAACAACTTCACTGGAGAGATTACTGGGACAATTATTTTGAACGGATCATATGTATGAACAGAAAGTTTAATTAAAAGAGGAATTTAACTCTTTGTTATTGTCATCTTGCCTCTTATTCATAACCACCAATCTGAAGCTTCCATATCTGTGCCTAAAGGCTCAGAAAGTCATTTACAACTTTAGCCTGTGGCATGATTATTCTCTGTTAACTAAAGAGAGCACAAGTTGTTTCTCCACTGAAATAATGTCTTTATGAACTCATAGGATGGTTAGTAACCCCACCCTTAGTACACATGTGAGATTCCAGGCAGGCTGTAGTGAGTGGGCCGCATTGTACGGGGAGAAGTCAGCTGAACAGACTTGTGTGACTCTCTGTTTATTGAGTGTTGTACTGACTGAACCCTGCGGACTGCAGCAGTAGGGAGTAGTCACCAGCAGAGTCTAATGAGCTGACAGTTGTACGAAAGCGTTTCTTTGGAAATTCTAGCTGAAACTGACAGCACGGCCTTTAAATCTCACTGGCTTCAGAAGTTAGAAGTTGATCTGAGGCCAGTTCTTCTCATAATGGTTCATGATTTAGACAAGACTCTGGTCCCTCATCAACTCAAGGACCAAACTACCACAACATATCAATCAGGTTGCCTTTATTACTGTTATTTTCCCTGTTTGCCTTGAATTTCTTCAGAACTTCTTCAGATCTTGATACTGATCCCTGCTTTGAACACGTTAAACATGGTGATTCAGATTTGACAGACAAATCAGGGTAGTTGTACACATCTGTAACATTAAAGGGTCATATCCCATCTTTTCCTATTTCTGGGGTCCACTTTTGATGGTTTTTGTGGTTTTATGTTCCAAAAAACATAGTTATTAATTGTTATTAATTTTTTTAGTTGATCACTTTCTAACTTCTCTTTAACACTTAGGCCAGAAACACATTCGAGCACAAATACGCAAATGCAAATGACAGCGCTTAGTCAACACAGTGCAAATGCACGGCCCTTCTGTACAAACACACTGTGCGTTCTTACGGGGGCGATAAAGGATGAATCAGAAAGAGATCTACTGGCATTCCAACAGCCACAACAGTTAAACATGTGGAAGGTAGATGAGTGTGAGCCACTTTAGGCCAGAAACATACTTCACGCAAGTACGCACATGCAGATATGTTGAGCTATGCAGACACAGTTTTGCGCGTTGTTGAGTTTTAAAATGTGTCATGGTGCAATTCATAATGCAGCACAAGCATGAGCTGCATTCTAAGCATTACAGCAAGGGTTGCTATGGGAAAAGCCAAGCCTGACCAAGCTGACCAGACTCATACCAGAGAACTTGTAATGAGAATTACCACTGTAATGTGTTCTGGGTTTCTCAAACGCTACGGGGCGCTCCCGAGCGAGTCCAAAATGAAAGGGTTAAGATGGAGCGTTTGAGCAGAATCATAGTTTATAAATGCTTAAACATTTTTAATGTAAAAGAATACATTAATTTCTGGAACACACAGGTAAGTTTTCTTTGCTAGAGAAATACATCCTTCTACTTACCAAAAAATTTATAAACTATTTTAGCTTTTCGTTTCCCATTGATTGAGGACTTGCTCGCTGGTGCCCTCTAGTGTTATGCAGTCATGTTTTTGATATAACGAGGGAAATAGGAAGAGGCTCCGCTCGCACTGCTCTCTCCCAGTTAACTGTCATAGCTGAGTCTTTTGCAAAAATCGTTTGCTCATATAAACATATATATTTCATCACCTCTTCATTCTGATAGAACAGGTATAGCACCCAACACTTTTCTGTTATTCATATGTTTAGAAGTTGTGGATGGTTGGAAAGACAGTAGCTCCCATTCTTATATGTCCACCATCGCCCCTTTGAGTATTGATTGGTTTAACCGGCACAGTAAAATAAGAATGTGTGGTAAGTTTGTACAGAAGGGCTGTGTGTTTGCGACGCGTTGGCCAAGCATTGTCATTTGTGTTTGCATACTTGCATGGAGTATGTTTCTTTGTTTCATCAAAAAAGGTGATCATGTATGTTTATGCACTTTTTGCAAGAGATTTGTCCAAATGCTCATCTGCTATGACAGTTGACTGGGAGAAAGCCATAGATGTCCATATGGAGAAAGCACGCTGGCAGTACTAGACAGCTTGTTTAGGCTTGGCTGTCACTGTTGCTAGTATTATGAACACCAAAATGTCGACGGGTGTTCTTAATGATGAAACTGAATATTATAATTAGCGCCCCTTGCAGTAGTGCTCAAGATGCAGTTCGAGCCTGTGTTGAGTAATGAATTGCATGACACATTTTTGAACGTATCAGTGTGAGAAACCCTGTCTGTGTAGCATGAAGCGTCTAAGTTTGCGCCAGAAACATACACAACACAAGTATGCAAATGCAAATGACGTAGTGACATGACAGAGTGTCCATTAGCTATAGCGGACATATAAGAATGGGAGCTACTGTCATTTCAACAGCCACAACTAAAACATGAGAACGGTGGAAGAATGTTAGGTGCTTTACCTCATCAGAATGAAGAGGTGATGATTTAATATACATAGATATGTTTAAGCAAGCAAACCATTTTTGTGAGATTTCAGTTGCTTGTCTGCTATGACGTTTGACTGGGAGAAAGCCCAGTTTGGCCAGGCACACTGCACCGTAGGATTGTTCCACCATGTTGGCAGGGTTCTTTCTTTGTTTTCATGCTGCAAATACCGACATACCGCCTTGATTTTTGCACAGGGGCACAGTCATGCTGGAACAGAAAAGAGCCAACCCCTAAAAAACAACCCCTTAGCTTTATCGCTCTTCTACCAAATTTTACATTTAGCACAGTGCAGTCAGGCAGGTAACGTTCTCCTGGCATTCAGCAAACCCAGACTCGTCTATCTGAATGATAGATAGAGAAGCGTGATTCATCACTCCACAAAATATGTTTCCACTGCTCTCGTAAACATATTTGATATATCATCAGTGTTTTAACCACCACAGTGACATAAAAAACACACTAGGAGTTTGTACAGTAGTGCTGTGCATTTGCAATGCATTGGAGACTGAATAAAATGGCCACAAGGTGGCGCCCACAAAGAAGTACATTAACAAATTTTATTCAACCTGAAAAAAATACTTTCAACCTTTGTTTTAATGAAAGTATTTATAAGTTAAATAAAACTACACACTTAAAAAAACATAGTCTTCAATGGTTCTTTAGTAAAGAAGATGATTCTATGTAGAACCATGAACACTCAAGGAACCCTTTGCATGTTTAAAGGATTCTTTGCATCATGAAAGCGTTATTCAGATTGATGGAGAATGTGTTTTATATGGTTCTATATAGAACCATTTTGAAAAGGGTTCTATATAGCACCAAAAGGGTTCTTATATTGTTAAAGGCCTGACCTGACCCTTTTTTGATACTATATAGAACTGATTTCAAAAAGATTCTATGTAGAACTATCTACAGAACATTCTCCAATCTGAAGAACCATTTAGTGATGCAAAGAACCCTTTCAGGCAAAGCGTTCTTTGAGTGTTGAATGGTTCTATATAGAACCATTTTCTTTACTAAAGAACCATCATTTTTAAGAGTGTATCTCAATTGCTTGTGACCACTTGAAGTAATGTTCTTAAGTTGATCTGAGCAACCATTTTTACAGTATACATGTAAATGGGCGGGGCTAGACTGCTGTAGGCTGTATATGCAAATGCACTGTTTTTGTAATATCACAAAGACAGTACATTCACAACATGTTGTTTTTGAAGTCTAATGTACTGTATGGACTGGGGAGTGAATGGTTTTGAAACTAACATTATTTACATACTACATCAAAATTCTTAACCTAAAGCAAGGTCAATGATTTGGACGCTTTACTTGGTATTTTTGATTCTCACAAAGGCTTCGATAACAATAAAACTGTCCAAAGTAAGCTGCCTTTTCACCACTAAGTACTGAAGGCAGACTCAAACGGCTGTTTGGCTGCTGTGACATGATCTGTCCAGTCAGCAGTTTTTAATTTTGCCATCTGCTTCCTTGTTTATGTTTTTTAGCACTTCATCTGCTCTCCTTTTCATTCCATTTAGTTAATGGGTAAGTGAGGGAATTTCGAACCTGAAATAATTACGCGTGCAGTATCATTTTTGCAAGTCATTTATATTAATTAATGTGAAGCTTCATTGTTCTTTCACGCATCATACGGATATCTTGTGGCTTGATATAAAAATTGGCATCATTGCCAGTTGTTTCGTAATCTCAATAATATTGGTTTAACCCATTGGATTAAACTCTGAGTGCCTATATGTGGCCCACACTTCAATTACTTACATAACTTACATATCGCTGCTGTCGGAACAAAACCTTGTTTTTCAGTTTTTGACATAATTCAAATAATTCATAATTGCCTGTTGCCCTTTACATTGTGTCAAAATTTCATGATGAATGGTCCCAAAGAAACGGCCCAAAATGACTTGGAAAAACGTCTGGTTCCACTGACTTACATTAAAAGTAAAGTATGTTTTTCCTTCTCCTGTAAAGTTACCATTTTGGCGATTTTGAAGGTTTTGTTCCAACAACAGTGATATTATAGTTAATATTGAGTAACAGGTCTTAAGATCATTATCTGAATAATGCGCCTGGGGTTCAAGCTTTTACAATTAGTAATCATATTTAAAACATGTAGCTGCCTAAGGAGCCTACACTGATAAAAGTGATGCAATTAACTTAATTCAAAAGTGTGCAGCTACCTAAATATAACACATCAACACAAGTTTGTCTTTCTGATTATTTTTTTCTGCTTTTAGCAATAATTATGTCACAATATATTTGATTCATGTGGAAATGAGTGGAAATGATATACAGACTTGAATCAAGTAGTTTCAGTGCAACACTTTTTCAGCGTGACTGATGATGGCTCACTGAGTGTGACAGCAGAGGGAGCCAGAACATCACATTAGGAGACCACAGAGATCTGTCCAGCATGTGCTCTCTCTCCACCACCAGGATCAACATGATCTTCCCTTTAATGAGAAATTCTGCTCCCGCAGGACGCTGCTCCACATCTTGTAAAGCTTAGATGGAGGAGGTCAGGCTCTCTTCG